TGAGTTGGAGAGGTGGTTAGAGTTCTAGTCCCAGTTTGGCCTCTACATTGGACCTTGGATTCCTTGAACCAGACAATCTAGTTTAAAGTCTACAATTCCATCTTTGCCTAGACTATGTTAATTCTCCCTGCTGGACCATCAACAGCATCACAGCCATTTGGCGGCAGCAACTAGAATTAAGATATATCCTTCTGTTCATTAATTTCTTCGAAGATTCATTAAGCATCTACTCCCAGACCCACCCCAACCTCTATGCTAAGTACTTGAGAAACAGATATTAAAATATCACACTTTGCTCACTCGAGGCACTTGCTGTTTTAAAAGAAAGGCAGCTAGGTTAACGAATGGCTGGAAGACAGGGTGGTGAGTGCTTATGATTGGGTGTGTCAGGGAAGGCTTCCAGAGGAGACCCCTCTAAGAGAAGAAAGGAACAGAATGAGACAGTAAGGGAGGGGTATTTTAGACAGGGTACAAGATGTACATAAGCCTGGAAGAAAAAGAGAGCAAGGTATGTCCTCTTTCTTGGAGCTTGAGACGTTTGTTAGAGCTGGGACACTGAGATGTGGAGGGAAGGGGAAGTGGAGTTGGTAAGTCTAACTTTGGACACGTTGAGTGTGGGGTGTTGGTGGAAAATTGAAGTATGTTTGTCCAGTAGGCAGCTTTACACAGAGCTGCGATCTGGTTTAGAGATAGAGAACAGTCATCAGCACGAAGAGGTCACTGAAGCCACAGGAGCTGATGAGATCACTGGGAGGAGTGGGGAGAGGAGCACGTTCACTGTGTAGTTCACAGAAGGGAGCTCAGATGGGCTTCAAGGAATTCATGAAGTGGGTACAACGTTTTTTTAAAATCCTTCATATTTACTTAGAATATTGCCTTAGCATGATACAAACTTTTAAAGTCTAATTCTGTTCTAGTGCACTCATCTTCTTAGCATAATAGTCTAAAAAAATTTGTTTCCAGAAATAACAGGAAGCATACTCTGCCATTACTGTTGTCTACATGTCCTTCAGTTACTTGGTTGGGCCTATGTTAAGCTGAAAGATGCCAAAGCAAAGGACTAAAGCAAAGTTAATGTATTTATCTTTTGGCTTTACCATCATCAATGAACAGAGATCGGCAAACTTTTTCTGCAAAGGGCCAGATATTAAATATTTTTATTTTGCAGGCAATAAGGTTTCTGAAACAACTATACAATTCTGCTTTGTGAAACCAGCTGTAGTTAAAATGTAAACTATATGAGCATGGCTGTATTCCAATAAAACTTTATAAAAACACTAGAGGCCCGGTGCACAAAAATTTGGGCACTCGGGAGGGAGAGAGGGGTCCCTCAGCCCGGCCTGTGCCCTCTTGCAGTCTGGGACCCCTCGGGAGATAACGACCTGCTGGCTTAGGCCTGCTCCCGGGTGGCAGAGGGCAGGCCCAATCCCTAGGTGCAGCCCCTGGTCGGGCTCAGAGCAGGGTCGATTGGGGAGTTGGGGCGCCGGCCCCTGTCATGCACAGAGCAGGGCGGATTGGGAGGTTGTGATGTCACCCTCAGTCATGCTCAGGGTAGGGCCGATTGGGGGGTTGGGGCACCGCCCCTTGTCACACTCAAGGCAGGGTTGATGGGGAGGTTGTGGCGCCACCCCCTGTCACGCACAGAGCAGGGCCAATTAGCGGGTTGGGGCGCTGCCCCCTGTCACGCACAGAGCAGGGCCCATCAGGGGGATGGGGCTCCGTACCTTGTCACGCACAGAGCAGGGTCAATCAGGGGGTTGGGGAGCTCCCCCCTCGTCACAGAGTAGGGCCGATAGGGGAGTTGGGTCACCGCCCCCTGTCACACACAGAGCAGGGCGGATCAGGGGGTTGGGGCGCCGCTCTCTATCACCCACAGAGCAGGGCCTGTGGGGGGGGGGGGGTTGGGGCGCCGCCCTCTATCACCCACAGAGCAGGGCCGATCAGGGGGTTGGGGCGCCGCCACTCTCACACTCAGGGCAGGGCCAATGGGGAGGTTATGGCTCTACCCCGTCACACACAGAGCAGGGCCTGTGGGGGGAGGGGGTTGGGGTGCCGCACCCTGTCACACACAGAGCCGCAGGGCGATCAGGGGGTTGGGGAGCTCCCCCCTAACAGGCACACAGCAGGGCTGATCAGGGGGTTGGGGCGCCTTCCCCTGTCAGGAACAGAGCAGGGCTGATAGGGAGGTTGTAGCCCCGCCCCCTGTCACACACAGAGCCACAGGGCGATCAGGGAGTTTGGGCGCTGCCCCCTGTCATGCTGATCCCGGTGCCAGGAGGCCTCGCGGCTCTGCTGATCCTGGTGCTGGGAGGGATATTACCCTTTTGCTATATAGGATAGAGGCCTGGTGCATTGTTGGGGGCTGGCTGGTTTGCCCTGAAGGGTGTCCTGGATCAGGGTGGGGGTCCCCACTGGGGTGCCTGGCCAGTCTGGGTGAGGGGCTGAGGGCTGTTTTCAGGCTGGCGGGTGACTGAAGCTCCCAACTGCTCCTTTTTTTCTTTCTTTTTTTTTTATTCTGGGCCAGCTTTAGCTCTGACTCCAGCTCTGAGGCCTCTGTTGCTGAAAGCAGGTATCTGGTTTGTTTGTGTTCTATAATCGAAACACTGTATCAACTCCACCTCTGAGATCCCGGCTCGCTGAAAGCAGGTTTCTGGGGTTTTGTTTAGCTTCTATATTTGTAACTATGTTTCAAACTGCAAGCTCAGAGGCCGGCAAGGCAGGCGGGGAACGTTGGTTTCCTCCGTCACTGAAGCAAGCAAGCCTCATGTTAGTTTCAAGCTGCCTGGCTGCTGGCCGCCATCTTGGCTGGCAGTTAATTTGCATATCACCCTGATTAGCCAATGGGAAGGGTAGCGGATGTATGCTAATTACCATGTTTCTCTTTTATTAGATAGGATATGATGCCCCCCCTTCCCCCCACCCGCTGAGAAGACTTGCTTTGAAATGGTTGGAACTTTTCCAGAACTTGTACTAATACAAGGCCTGGTCTTGAAGCCTTATACCAGGCTGCTGACCATACTGGAGGCAAACTTTCACCTTAGAACAGTGGAAGAAATTACAAACATTTTATCGTTAGGTGTTCTTATGTTATCCAGAAAAACAAGCAACTTTCTCCTATTATTTTAAAGCAGTTTATGGAAGAATTGAAAGTTCTGCCATTTCATTTCAGTCTGCAACTGGATGAAACTTCTACTCTATTGTACCTAGCTTCTGGGTTTTGTTTGGAGTATGACTGCTGGCTTTATCAAAGTAAGATTCTTACTTTGTGAAAAGTATTTTTTGGTCAGTCAAAAGGTGGGCTGGGAGAAAAATCCGGGTACTAGATACAGCATCAATGGTGGATGGCAACACATTCGGTTATACTGCCTGATAAAGAACAAAGGTCCACCAACTCATTACTTCAATCACTGTGTCCTATATATTGACATTCAAGAGATCAATAACTAGACCCACAACCCTGAAAGAAATCTTGTTAACTTCATCGGAACTGGGGCTGTGAAGCACTGCCTTCCAGGTGGCTTTGAAACAGTTCTCCTTCATTAGCTTTCCAGAGAAGAGGTATCAAAGAGCATGTCTGAAAATGGCAGAAGTACCATTTTTATAAGAGAAATAAAATCCTTGGGGGAATTTATTAATGTTTGGCTTACTGGTAGTTAGTCCCCCCTCCAAACAAATGAGATAAATCTTTTGGTTTACAGCTCTGCAATCAATATCATGAAGGCCAAGCATCTATTTGCTGTTTTGGCTAGGTTGCCATTTTAGAAGAGGAGTGGGTAAATAGGTAACTATACAAGTCTTCTAATGTTGGAGGAAGTCCCTCTGCAAGCTAAAGTAAAGTGAAAAAGGCTTTTCAATTTTTTTGCATACAGAAATCATGAGAAATAAAACTCTTTTGAAGGCCATTCCTGTTCAGAACATCTTAAAATGACACTATGGATTTATAATCCTTTTGCTGCCCACACAGATAGTGTCAGAGAAACAAACCAGCCAAAGATGACTTCATTGCCTTGAGGACAAGGGAACTGATGTGCATAATTTTGATTAAAATGTATTAGAGAATTCTGGCACTCTCTGATACAAGTCTCCCTAGACACTTAATTAATAGTCAAAGGATTTTAGCATTTGTTGCTGTAAGAAAGAAAAGTCTAAATTAATTTGGCTGTCAAAGTTGATAAGTATACTGCCATGTCAAAAATCTCTATATGACTTCACTATTTTACTCAAGTCAAACAGCCACCTTCTCATTGATATTCATGTTTAAGCAGACTTAAAATTTACTTTTTCTTTCACTTATAATATCAAGGAATTTATTTCAATTTTTTTCAGAAGTTTGCCATTAATTTTGCATTAACGGCTGATTAAACATGGTGGATCAATCAAATGTGTTTTTTTTGCCACTACCTATCAGAACGTCAAGGTGATAGAAGTAAAACAAGATACCATCACCTAGGACAAAGAGAATGAGGGACAGACTGTGCAAATGAAAGATCCAAAAAGAAAAGTCCTTTTGGAAGCCAGAGTTGCCTAATATTGCAGGACTAGCTTGCAAACTAAGCAGCTAAGAGTGGTGACACCAATGAGACTTTTGAGATACTTTGTGAAAATGATTTATCCTTATGTAGACTATCAGAATTTTCAACGTAATTAAAGAAACTGTATCCAAATTTTGAGTTAATGAACTTAAGTCCATTGTCTAAAAAAGGCCTTCATTAGATTCTTATAGGGACCCATCAGAGGGCATAAGAAAATAAGAGAATGTGCTTTGTAGACACATCTTCATGGATCTTCTAATTTAATAATCTTAGCTATCAAAAAGAGATACAAGCCTCAAATCATTCAAGCATTTACTGGCAAAAGGTGAGTCTGGAGCGTGGACCTCCTGACCCCCATGTGTCTCTCTCCTTTAGCACACTGCTTCCATGTCACCAAACTGAAACACATAGAAAGAGACCTGCGTGCAGTACTTATGAAAGCAACAATGTTGGTTGGGGTCCTCATACCTGATCCTGGATACTGGAAGACATTCTGCTGCATCTGAGGATTGACTCCAGTGCCAAACTGTCCTCCCATGTTCCCGGCCATGCCTCTGTTCACCATGCTGCTGCGGTTGGCCAAGGCTGCCTCAGGATTTACTGCCAGTTGTGAAAACGGGCTGGTAGAAGCGGGTGGGGTTCCTGGATTTGTACCATAGTTTGGTGGGTAGGGGAATTGCTGCGGAGCACCCTGAGGAAGACGGGGGTTCCCCATTTGAACTGGCAGTCCAGATGAGGGAGGGAGGTTGTTCCCAAAGCTTTGTTGCCTCATGAGCATGGCTCTTTGCTGCTGTATTAGCTGCCTCTGTCGGTGCTGCTGGCTGTACAACTCCCGCTGGCGCTGAGCCAACATTTGGGCATTCAGGGGTGGCTGCAAAGGAGGAAAAATTCTTCACTTATTATAATAATTATAACCTCTACCTATCTTGGAAAGCTTACAAGATAAAGTCTAGTAGCTTGGGGCAACAAAATATGTAGCAATTATCAGTATACAGAGGAAAATAAAACTGAAAGGGAACAAAAACTCTAATAATCACAGGAGAGAAAAACAATTAAGTAAGTTTTATAGATTAAAGGTAGGTGAGAAATGCTAAAACACTATTACTGACTGTTAAAGTGGTTAAATGCAAATTCTCAAAAAGTCACACAGAACTGAGAAAAGTCAAAGAAAATACGCATTGATTAGTATTATAAGTCATAAAAAATGGTTAAAAGAAACATTAAAACCAAAGAGGAGAGAAAGAAATGTGCTAACGACTTCCATCTTTTTTTTTTCTTTCTGTTCATCAGATTATTTATTCACTTGATTTTTAGATTCACTTGTTGATAGATGTGTATTTGTTGTTCATAATTTGTATCTTTACCTTTTCTAACGACTTCCATCTTATCTGACATTAGGTTGTTAGGAGATTTCTACTTTTCTATTTCAAAAAAATTACAGTTTCCCCTTTTTCTCATGGAAATAATTTATTCCACTTTACTTAAATGAATAAAATGTGATTATAGGTGATTTAAATTTTTCTATATACTTTTCAGTATTTTCCAAATTATTTATAATGAACATATATTATCTTTATAGTTAAAAAAACTTACAAATACCATTACTAGTAAAAGAAGAAAAAATCAGAAACCCAGGATCCAATGACTAATAAATTATCATTTAAAAGGAAAATAATTAGAAATAAGATAATAAACAGAAATAAATGGAACCAGCTACTTTATGTCATTGTTGCAGTATAAGACTACTCTAGGTATTAGAGTGTTTTAAATAGCTATGATATAATGAATGAAGAAAGAAGTGGTAACATTAGGTTGAAATCACTTTTTGGTCTAATTTGCAAAGCAATATGGCATGTCAATAAAGCCTTCCTCAGAAAATATCAATTCAGATTGAGGATCTGATTAAAGCATATGGCTCCATTAAAATTAAACTTGTCAATTACATATAGTCCAATCTAGAACAAACTGTGACATATGACATTCTGGTAGAAATCATCTTTATGTTAATTAATTCCATAATAGGGTCTTGTTTCCTTACAACCTAATTACCCTTACATGAACTAACCCCAAGATTTATAAGACATAGAAACCCAAATCTGGATCCATAAAGATGCCAACATCTGCTGCTTACCAGCAGTTTCTCTCAGTATTTATCCTTTTGGTTAGTGTTGGCTTTCTGTATTTGCCCCAAATCCATCTAGGTCCATTTTATGGAGAAAAGAAGAATTTTGTTTGAATCATCTTAGAGTCCTTCATCTCCCAAATGTTTGTGTCAATTTGGTTAAGGAAACAAAAAAGTGGTTGAAGCAAAAATAATAAACTATGTGTGGAAGTTAAGATCTAGTTAACACTTAGAAGGCTATCTAGTTCTTTTTATGTTTAAAGTTCCAGTGGCTCTGTGTTCATGTACAAGGGTCATTCAAATAAATAAAAAATAGAAAATGCTGATGCTCAGACGGACCTGAGAACACAAGAGAGTTAAGATAACTCAGCAATGTGACACAGTTTGGATCGGGTTTCAGGTACCATTCATACAGTCTCATAGCCGAGGCTTCTTATTACTAGCACTATTCAGAACAGCAGTAAGAGTTTTCTACTTAGTCCACTGGTATCTAATAGCAGTGACAACAATAACAATAAACAAAACAAAGAACCCTCAGCTTTTGATCAAATATCAGTAAGGGATATCACAGATTCATTATAAATTCATTCTAGAAGAGAGCTACACTTATAAACATCATTAAAAGATCAGCTCACAGACCATTTCAAAGACACTCAAGTCAACACTTTAGGAAACACGGCTTGGATTAGAAAAGTACTAACAGTGTTTGGTTTGCTCACATTACCTGAGGTGTAATTTGCTGCTGCATGCCTGATCTCATATTGATGCCAACTGGAGCATTTGCTGCAAACTGGTTCAAAATAGCTTGCCGATTTTGGTGTATCAACTAGAAAAAATGGAAAAAATGAGATATCGTATTTCTACATTAAAATATAGCATAGCCCTTAAAGGTAACACAAACATTTTATTGATTACTAACAAGTTTTACTGTTGCACGTTCAGTAAGATATTCTCCATGTTTATCTGCCAAAAGGCTGATAATTCCTAACATAGTTCCCACCTACACTAAATATGGCAGAGCATTTAAAAATAGAATACACACATGCACATAGGTACAGGTGTGTGTATTATACTTTCAAATGTTCTGCCATAAATGCTCTACCACTAAAATACACACACAAAGGCATTTATTGCACTTTGAAAAAACACGTTAATACTTAGTTATTTCAGGTAAGTGTAATAATGGAGAGAAAAGCTCTAGGTCATAAAATTATTGTGAGTAAAAATGTAAGTATACAATTGGGCACATTCTACAAAGGTCTGGAAGATAAATGGAAAAGTTGAGGTAATTCTCACTTGGAGGGTGCCTGTCTAATGGGTACATATCTGGGGAAAATCCAACATGATTTCATTAGCTGAAGAGAATTATGTAAGAAACAAATGGTCTGAGAAAATGAACTATTTATTTAACTGCAAGAAGTAATTACTTTAGACCAGCAGTTCCCAAATTGGTGTTCTAAAAGAACATTGTTCTGCAGGATATTAATAGATGTGCCAGGAAAACAGCATGTTGTGCTGTATTAAGTACTGGGAATGATGGGTTACACAAGGTGAAACAGAGTTCTTTACTGCAGTAATTCTATGGGTACATTCTTTAAGAAGGGGATAGGCTATGCAACTTATTTATCACAAACCTTTTTTTCTGACATATAGCCATTAACAGTATCTCCTAGAACAATCTCCTATGGAACGCTAGTTTGGAAGATGCTATCTATATCAGGCTTAGGGTTCCAGGTCACAGACATGCCTCAACTTTATCAGGTAACAAAACAAGCATCCTTGGGGGTTGTACCTCCTTATAAACAATCTATAGCAGGGGTGGGGAACTTTTTTTTCTGCCAAAGGCCATCTGGATGTTTATAACATCATTCGTTGGCCATACAAAATTATCAACTTAAAACAGCCTGCTATATTTGGTCAGACATGTAATCAACTCACTGCTAATGCCTTGGCAGGATCAGACCAAGTAATTTTGTGGGCCTTGTACGGCCCACGGGCTGGAGGTTCCCCACCTTTGATCTATAGCTTAAAGATCAAGTACGGCGATGCATATATAGACATCTACAGCAATGCAGACAGACCAATAACTAGTGTAGGACATGAAGGCAGGGACCAAGCGCCTGAGTGAGCTCAATGGGAGCTTCAAAAGGTTAACTTTAGGCAGAAAGAAGAGCAAGTATAAGAAAACAGAGAAGGCAATGAGGACAGGTGAAAATACATTAATACTTAGTGATGCAGAGAAGAAAAACTGCTGGTGGAGTGGGAGCTGGGATTCCAAACTTATAGCTTTATATATCCTTTCAATTGTGAGACATGGTGACAATGAAATGGGTGGGGATGGAGGAAAGATGACTGAGAAGTAGTAAAAATGAAAAAATAACCTTAGAAAAGAAATAGGCTATTTTTAGTAGAAGGAATTATTCTAAATAGCAGCAATCTATAAGCACTTTCTGTTAAAGAAAAATTGATTGATTTCTGCCCATAAAAAAGAGTTCTTGTTCATTTTTCCCTTCCCTTGACTGTGTGTACAACTGTCTTACTCTGACCTATTTCTTCTCTCTGATTACTAAAATGCTACCCATTTTCCAGCAAGCAGATTAAGCTCCACTTCTTCAAGGAAGTCTTCCCAAAAGATTCACCATCTCCTTTAACGCTTTGAAAATCTTAACTTTTCGAGTTTGGGGCATGAAAGAGGCTGGTAGTCCTTAAAGCGAGGGACACAAATTCAAAAGCCTATAAAGGGCAGGTAAAAAGGCTTGTTGCATTACAAAAGGAAATGTGGGGCTCGTGTGGGAGGATACAAACCCAGCCTATGCATATAAAACACATACAAACATGCACATGTGTGCACATACACACACACACAGCACAGGATAGCTGCCTTTTTGTCTGCCTGAATGGATTTTTTCAATGCCTTAGCAAGAAGTCCTTCTATAGTAACTTAAAAGATGATTATCTGGCCCAGAGGTTCTCAATCAGGGGTGATTCTGCCCCACAAGGGACATCTGGTAATGCGTGAAGACATTTTTGGTTGTCACAACTTGGGGAGGGGTTTCTACTAGCATCTGGTAGGTAGAGGCCAGGGAGGCTGCTGAACATCCTTCATTGCATGAGGATTCCCCCTCCCCCACTAACAGGAATCACCAAAATGTTAGTAGTGCCAAGGGTGAGAATTTATGCAGTCACTGCATAAATTCTTACAAGCCAATGAGTTTTTGTTTTGTTTTTTAAGTAAGTTTATTTGAGCCAAACTGAGGATATATGCTGGGGACTAAGATCTCAAGTGCCTCCCCAAGAAGCTTATTTTATTAAAGAAACTTATTCTTTTATCAGGCAGTTTTTGCCAGAAATCTGGAGGTGAAATCTGCTTCTCTGTAGTTTCTGCTCTTTGACCTTAGTTCTATTTTCTGATTTCTTCTATTCTCCATCTCTATAATAAAAGCCTAATAGGCAAATTGTCCCCTTGACCAGGAGTTTGACCAGGAGTTCAAACATGGAGCGGGGCCGGCCAGCCAACCGCGGGAAGGGAGGCCCTGGCCAGCGGCAGGCAGCCAGAGGGAGGCCCTGGCCAGTGGCAGCAACAGGCAGCCAGGAGAAGGGAGGCCCCAGCCGGCAGCCAGCAGCCACTAGGGACCCTACCCATGCACGAATTTCATGTACTGGCCCTCTAGTCTATCTATATATATAAAAGCCTAAGCGACTGAATGACCAAACGACCGGTTGCTATGATGTGCACTGACCACCAGGGGGCAGACGCTCAACACAGGAGCTGCCCCCTGGTGGTCAGTGCACTCCCACAGTGGGGTTACTGCTCAGCTGACCCACAGGTTCCAGACGTGGGGCTCATGGCTGGTGAGTGCAGCTGCGGTAGCACGAGCCTCTCCTGTCTCCATGGCAGTGCTACCGAGCAACAGCAGATGCAGCAGGACCAGGATGAATGGGAGTGGCATGGCTCGGGCTCCTCCCCAGCTACCTGTTGCTTTGTGCACTACTACATCCCTCGGGGGATGTCGGACTGCTGGCCTGGCCTGTGGGGAACGGGCCGAAACCAGCAGTCAGACATCCTCTGAGGGGTCCCGCCCGGATTGAGAGAGGGCACAGGCCAGGCTGAGGAACCCCACCAGTGCACGAATGCATGCACCGGGCCTCTAGTAATATATAAAAGATTATCAATAGTGGTTCTTACACCAGATCCATACCCTTCTTGAGGACCCTAACAACATATCTGGACTTGCCTAAGGATATCGTATTTCTTTATCTGTCTGGACTGTTACTCCCTCTTCATATTTTTCTCCTTTTTTTTAATAGTATGAAGACTATGGCCTTTGCTGGAGAAGAAGAAAGCAAAACTGGAATAGAACAATTGTATCTTTGTTAGCCAGTGTTATACTATTTTCTATAAGCAGCAGACCTACCCATTTCTGCTGTCATCCTTTTTCCAAAAATAGAACTTTACAAGTTCTTATAGGTATTATGGATATATTCCTTGACTCTTTGCTTATTTGAGATGTAAGCAGACACTACACCTAAAGGCTTTAACTTTGCATTTCTTCTTAATCACTAGTTCCTTCTTTATTTTTACCATTTAAGTCTCAGCCAATGCATTTATGTTAGCTTCCTAGGGTGGTTGTTCTTCCTCTTCCTGTCCGCCAACTGGAAATTATTCTTAACTGTATAATCAAATTTAAAATATTAGAATCTTTTTACTCCTTGTGTGCCATATTCTAGTCAATGAGATATACTTAAGGTCAGGAAATCATATTTTTTAAAATGATCTAAAGATCTATTAAAAATAAACTATAATGTAGATCTGAGTATGTCCCTTTCTTTTTCTTCTCAAATCATTAGGCACTGTGTTCCCTTCCTGACTATTAGAAGCTTACATCTCCTGTGTTTGGCAAGAGGGAAGAAGGAAGAAGAGGACATGACCAACAAGTAAACATGATATCAATCAAGTGAGATAAGTGTGTTAAAAATATTGTTATGAATCTGATATATTCTAGATACTAATCCTTTGTCTGTTATGAGGTTGCAAATATCTTCCCTGAAATAACTTCCCCAATCTTGTTTATGGTGTCTGTTTACTTATAGGTTTTACATTTTAATGCAAACATCAACCTTTTCCTTTATGTCCTTTTTATAAGGGGCCATAGAGATTTTCTCATACTCACATTTAGGCCATTAAAACATCTAGAATTTATTTTTTGTGTATGGTATGAGATAAGGATCTAATTTGACTCCCCCACCATGGACAGCCAAATGTACCAGCATTTATTTTACAGGCCATCCTTTCCCCACTGACTGCCACCTGTGTCACTTATAAAGTTCCTATATATGTCTGGTCTGTCTCTGGGCTCTCTATTATATTCCAACTAGAGGCCTGGTACACGGATTCATGCACAGATGGGGTCCCTCAGCCTGGCCTGTGCCCTCTTGCAATCCGGGACCCCTCAGGGGTCAGCAGGCGGTTGGGGAGGAGCCCCAGCCGGGGCCAGGCACAGTTCCGCTGCTGCTCATCCTGGCCCCACTGTGCCTGCTGCCACCACCGCTTAGTGGGAGAGGCTCCTGCCACCGCAGCTGTGCTCGCCAGCAGTGAGCCTGGTGTGAGTCCAACTTCTGGCTGAGCGGCGCTCCAGCTGTAGGAGCGCATTGACCACTAGGGGGCAGCTCCTGTGTTGAGTGTCTGCCCCCTGATGGTCAGTGTGTGTCATAGCGAACGGTTGACCAGTCGTTCTGTAATAATGGTTACTTAGGCTTTTATATATATAGATAGATTAGTAGAACTGTCTATCCCTATGGCAGTTCTACAATGTTTTAATTTTTAAAACTTGGTTTTAAATCTTGATATCTGGTAGGGCAAGTTCATCCTCATTCTTCTTTAAGGTTGCATTCATTCTTCTAAAATAAGTTTTGCATCTATTTGTCAAATTCTGTGTTGATATTTTAATCAGAATTCCACTGAATCTATAGGTTAACTTCAGAAAGATTGTCATCTTTACAACAGCCTTTAAATCAACAAATATATTTTACTTCTATCTTCTTTTTGACTTTTAATTATGATTTATTTTTGCATATTGTGATATATGTTGAAATTATATTTTCTAATTGCTTGTTGCTAATAAAAAGGATTGTCATTAATTTTTATTTCTTATTCTTTTATCTAGAAACTTCGCTGAACTTCTCTATTAGATCTAAGTTCCCTGTAGGTTCTCTTGGATTTTCTATGCAAGCAATTGTATTACTTGTATATGATAATTTTGTTTCTTATGTTTGCTTTCTATATTTCAAAATTCTTAGTAGGTTGATGGTATTCTTTTTTTTCTATACTGATATGAATTTATTCACTTAAAATATACAACCTGTCATTTAATGGAATTTAAGGCAGAAGTTAGATGTTTCACTTTAGTTCACCAATTTGATCCCGACTGTGAATTTACCTGTATAATTTAAAATAATATATTTAAACCTAATTTCTTGATTTTATCAGGTACTATTAATGCCAACACAGCCATTTACTCTCCTCTTCTTCTTTGATGACAGAATAGGATTTTAATTCAGCTAATTATCCCAAATCACACATCTCCATGAGTACTCTAAGTCAATCTTTGCCAGCGATTGGTTAAGGGTGCACAAGTGATTCAGTTCTGGTTAGCCAAACATGTGAAGTCTTTTTCTTGTTTTCCCTTTTTTGGGAGTGGGGGGTGGAAGTGGGGAAGAAGGCACAAGAGCCTTCTGAAAGTTTCATGGCTTTTAAAGCACGATGCATAGGAAAAAGATAGTCTTGTTTTCCCCTGCTGGATAGTTTTGTTTGCATGTGATATTTGTAACCATGGCAGCCATTCTTCTAGTTGCCAAGGATTACAGGGTAAAAAGACGAAAAGAACCTGGGTCCTTGATAACATCCTTGTCTCTGAACTAACCACACCTGGACATGTCTCTATTTTGAATCATCTTAATATCTGAGTAAAAAAAATTTTTTTTGTTTTACTACTTTGAGTTGAGCTTTCCTTTTTCTTTATTGCTGAGATAAGCCTTGGCCAGACCTCCCTCACACATAGAAGACTCTGCAGTGAAGAGCCACTATGGACTGAGTACCACTACTGGACAGAAGAACTGATAGCCCTGAACCCAAAGAATAGGTCTGGATATAGTGGCTCATTAGGGAGCAGAGTTATTGTTTTACATGGCAGTTATATGTTATTTTTGTGTAGTAACATATCTGGAGGCTTAAAACATAATGTGCCCCAAATTCTGTATTTCTCCAACTTGATGGACATTTATTTCACTTTGTTGGGCTACCAAGACCTCCAAACTTTGGACATGCTTCTATAATATTTAAAGGAAGCACAGAGGAGCGATGTTGACTTATTTGTGTCCTTATTTCAGATACACTCGTTGCATGACTAACTCTGCTTATCAGCTGCTTTAGGAGCAAATCAAAGCAAAAACAATTTTTTCTTCTGAACTAAGTATGAATTATCATTTCATCTATTCAGGAACCTGACCTAGATTGTTGAAATGGTCTTGCTCACTGAGCCTGTAACTGTAGACAGTATTTACTGAACGCTACTCTGTGCAATGAGGAAATCAGCATACCTACACTTTCCTCTCCTTTTTTGGTTTAGCACTTAGTCACTTACTGCTGTTAACTTTTGAGTATTTATCTGTTAAATACCCTAAGCTGACTATTAAGTTCTCAAAGTTGCCTGTATCATTTTTTCTTTATCTTCCTCACGGTACCTATCACTAGTCCCCTTAAATATGTTATATGAAAGATTAAATACAGAGGAACTATTAATTATTTCCTGTTCTTATGCAATCTTACGATGAACAACAAGTTATAACAAGAAGCAGCTTATCTTTAACTTATTCTCAGAATATATTACTATTCCTTTTCTTTCTCTTTTCTTCCTTCTCTCTCCTTAATTCCTCTTTGAATCCTTTATTCCACCCCAAGATTTACAGTTATTCCTTTCTTTGTTATTCTACCATTAAAATTTTTTCCCTATCTCATCTCTCCCTTTCTCTTTCTCCCTTTCATCATCTTTTTAAGTGAAATGAAACTACATTATAGTATCTATTATATTTATTGAATATAATTTTATAGTAATAGCTAGCATTTATTAAATGCTATAAGATGCCAAGTATTGTGCTAAGAGCTTTACATGCATTATCTCATTTAATGCACACAACCACCTATGAGGTAAAGGAATTAGTTATTAGACTCTTTTTATAAATGAGGACCCAGAAGCTTTAAAAGGGTAAATAAATTGATTGTTGAACCACCTAAGTTAAGGTTAGCACTAGGATTTGAAACTAGAGCTTACTTTTACCACCATTATATCATACTGACTTTCCAATTTATCTCCTTTTTCTTCCTTCCTGAATTAGTAAGGCTCCAGGAAATAACATTAAATACTTAAAAAAATAATCTGAAACAATATACACATATGGTTTAAAAAATACAGAAGGATTAATATGAAGAAAGAGAAATCTACAGCCCCAGTCCCACTTCTCAGAGATAATACTTTTAACCATTTGCTTTTTTGGCTCCTGATGATTCTCTCTATACCTGCTGTTTATACAGACTTAAACATGTATGCCACTATACCTACTCATTGCCTGTCATGAGAGAGATTTAACTCACCCACAGCACCCAACACCCCCAAATTATTCTTTCCTCATACTCCTAATATAAGACCACTCCAACTTCAAACAACATAAACTGCATTTTCTGTTTCAATAATCATAAAGTGTTTCTCGATACTCTATAAATTAAGTGTGTTTCTCTTTATTGATTTATTAATTGTACGATGTTCATCCTAATATTTTTTATCTCAAAAAACAAGATTAACTGCTTTTAAATTGTAGGTCTCAAAGTACTTTGTTATGAGCCGGCAGTCTTTTAATTGAATGAATATGTCCCCTTTTCTTATCCTAGCAAACCAAGGGTGGCGTTTTGAGTCTTTCATAAAGGTCCTGGGAGTAAACTTGACACCTTGGTTGTAGCAACTGGACTGTCTTGTTATAAAGAAAGCACATACCTTTAAAAAGTATCGCCTGCTAAACATGAGTACTCACCTGCTGTTGCCCCTGCAATCGCTGTTGAAGTTGAAGTCGAAGTTGATTGGGTGCAGCTGGAGGTCTGTTTAGAGTTTGCCTGGGCTGCATGCCCATGCCAGGTGAGAAAGCACCTCGGGGAGGTGTTACTTGAACAGGCATGGACCCCAATGAAGGTTTCTGCCTGACCATGCCTTGGAAAGGGCTAGTGAGACTGGCAGTAGGTGAAGGAGAAGAATAAGGCTGGGAATAAAGGTTGGGTCTTTCTTCCATCATTAAAGGTGGTGTTGCTTGTTGTGGTGGAAACCTCTCTGATAATACATCTAATCCACCTCCCTGTTAGAAAATAAATGAGGCTATTTTACACATATGTTTCTGCCAATAAATGATATGTTTCTCTATGTAACTTTGGATTTGATAGCATCTCTAGAAAGTTTCATCATAATCTACTCATAGTGGATTCATGAAGCTCTCCAGATGTTTACTACTTAAAGGAACTACCTTTGAAAGTTACTTTTGAAATGGAGTAAAAGATTAACTGAGATGTTTATATTTATTTATTTATTTATTAAAATTCTTTATTGTTGAAAGTATTACATTTGTCTCCTTTTCCCCCATAACTGAGATGTTTAAAATCTCAGTAAAGAAATGAAAATGCAGTTAAAATGAAGATCCTAAATCAATGAAATGAAGTGAAAAGGTTTAAAAAGAACTTCACTGCAAAACATAAGAATCAACAAACTTTATATTTACTACGTTACTACAGATGTAGCTTACTAAAGGAGGGATGAGTCAGGCATTTTTCTATCTTAAATAAAGAATTCATGTTTTTACCTATTTGAAAAAAAATCAGAGTTCACCTAACAGAATGCTGTACAGGTGGGCTTTCCTACTTGTTCACTATTACTCATTCTAAGAAATACAATTTAAATCGTGAACTGTTGTGTGTAGGGGTGTGTGTGTGTGTGTATGCGTGTGCGTATTTGTGTGCATGTATGTGTAACTAAAAGGAGAGTTTCATGAAGCATAACTTCCTCTGGACATTTGAAATATGAAAAATATAAGTTGAAGACTCGCATGAATAAAGGATACTATATTAAATCCTAAAATAAGAAGTGATGATATGAATCTGTATTCTATTCTAAGGAGAGCTTCTAAGATTCTGTTTCATAGTGAAAGGCTAAGACTTTCTAACACTATTATTATTATTACTACTACTTTGTGTAAAATCCTATTATTATCTACTAGAGGCCCGAAGCACAAAGATTTGTGCAAGAATGGGCCTTCCTTCCCCTGGCTGCCAGCACCGCCTTTGCTCCAGCCAGGAGCCGCCTTTCTGCCATGGTGACGACCCAAGTGTCCCACCCTGCCCTGCCCCTGTGTATGCAAATTAACCCGCCATATTTGTTTGGATTAATTTGCATACTCACGCCCAATTGGCTGATGGGCATCATGGAGGTACGGTCAATTTTCATCTTTCTCTTTTATTAGTGTAGATTACCTATTATATATTTTGTTAACTTCCACAAGGGTAAATTATAAAATACAGTGAGAATACTGAAAAACCTTGCTTAAAAACCATTTTCTAGCTTCTCAGGGAAGAATCATTTAAAAAATGCCAACTTTAGTAAATACCTGAACAAGTTTGTCAATTCCCAGAGCTCTATCTAATTCAGCCAACTCAGTTTCATCTTTGCCACTGAGGAAAGAGACCAGCTGTTCAAGCAGAGCTTTCTCATCATTTCTTCCTTCTACTGTTGTTGGTGGACAGAGAAGCTCATCTAATTGTGAACTAATACACTGGCTGCAGAATTAAAGGATACAGTTTTAATAATTATTCAATCTTAAGCAAGCAAATACAATATAAATATTCATGCAAATCTAGTTCTAGAAAATTTTCTAATACACTTAATGTACAGAAATTTATGAACATATTTTTCATTATTTTGCCAATCACTGAACTTTGTCTCCATAGTCTTCATGTCAGCTTACAGAACTATTCTCAAAATTAACCAAACATAGTTAAGATAGGGAAAAAGAATTAACAAAAATAGAAAATAAAAATCAACCAAAATCTCAGAAAAAAATAATTTAGCCTATATTAAAATTTGTTCTGCCCTGGCTGGTGTGACTCAGTTGGCTGGAGCATTGTCTGGTATGCCAGAAGACTGGGTTCAATTCCTGGTCAGGCACATACCTAGGTTGTGGATTCCATTCCAAGTCACGGAGCATATGGGAAGACAATCGATCAATGTTTCTTTATCACATTGATGTTTCTCTCTCTCTATCTTCCTCTCCCTTCCCTTCTGTCTAAAAATCAATAACCATGTCCCCAGGTGAGGATTGGGAGGAAAAATTTATTCATTCAATGGGCGCTATTAATTATTGGTAACTGAACCACAATCAAAATAGTATACATTGCATTACCTAACGTTCAAGGATGATTAAATCATATTGCTAACATTACATGATTGCCATTTTATTTATTTATTTATTTATTTATTTATTTATTTATTTATTTATAAAATATATTTTATTGATTTTTTACAGAGAGGAAGGGAGAGAGATAGAGAGTTAGAAACATCGATGAGAGAGAAACATTGATCAGCTGCCTCCTGCACATCTCCCACTGGGGATGTGCCCACAACCCAGGTACATGTCCTTGACCGGAATCGAACCCGGGACCTCTCAGTCCGCAAGCCGACGCTCTATCCACTGAGCCAAACCGGTTTCGGCATGATTGCCATTTTAAAAAGAACTCAAACTAGAAAAATGAAACATGCTTGGTATTAAGCAATAAAACAAATAGTTGGACACTGAGTAGATATGGAAAGTACCTTCCCTCCTTATACCTTCTTACTCTAAACAAAGAGAAAAACTGGACAGAATAATTATCTAACTAAAAGCTCAAGAGCAACATAGTTGTTGTACTGAGGCCGATTCGTTCATAGGTCCCAGAAACTTTATGGTAATCCATCAAAGCAAAGTAAGAGATAAAAAATAAACCAACAGCTGCATACTGCATCAATCTTCTGGTAATTACAATATACACTAGTCTTGCAGTCATGCAGTAAATACATCTGTCTTCCCCATTCTTTTTTTTTTTTTTTCCATTATCAATCACTTCTGTCAACATCTAACAAAATACCAATGTATCCTGGAATCCAGTTTGGGAAAAGTAGTTCTTTGTTGTAGAAGTTGGTATCTGATACTTTACAAAATACGAAATATATTACTCACTCTTCTGGTTTGTTCTGATTCACAGCTGTCACTGTAGTATTTGTCCATGGAATCTGATCACCTGTTCCTGGTTGTCCAAATTGGTTATCAATTGCTTCCAATTCCAGCTCAGGTAATCCTGATGATAGAAGCAAAGGTAAGAAGTCAGTGTCACAATGGAAGATAAAATGACAATATTTTCCAGAAGTAGTAGATAGTACAGTAGAGTGAGATTTCAGTTATATAGTATTACTTCAATGATACAGAGTCACTTATTCAGAAACTTAAACTATCTAGAAGGTGGCCACATAATAACAAGTAAATGACAAAGTGAGAAAAGGTCTGTGAATCAAAGAAAACCTGATGTTAAAAAGTTTGCACAGAAGTTGATGTTACCATAGGAGAATCATTCCAGACTATTGGAAATTTTTCAAAGATAATTATAACCATTTTGGTTAATGAATTTTTCAGTTTACAGCACATCAGAATATGCTATAAGTAGGGACAGTGTTATTATCATGGTCTGAGAGCTGTAAGCAAAAAGTAAAATATACTGCATAAAGGCACAAACCAAAGGGCATAGCCTTTAGGGCAGTGGTCGGCAAACTGCGGCTCACGAGCCACATGCGGCTCTTTGGCCCCTTGAGTGTGGTTCTTTCACAAAATACCTACTTCTGCGCATGGGCCATGAAGTTTCAATTGCACTGTACATGTGCGTCCGCATGTGGTATTTTGTGGAAGAGCCACACTCAAGGGGCCAAAGAGCTGCATGTGGCTCGCAAGCTGCAGTCTGCCGACCACTGCTCTAGGGTCATTCAGTAAATGGACAAAGCTCTATAGTTGTTAATCTGAAAATATAATAGTATAATAATTGATGCTTATAATGACAAATGAAAAAAGAGATTGAATTATGTTTTGTAATGGAAGAAAACAGTATATGCATTTTTGAAAGTTTTTGTGGGGGGATTTTTTTTGAAAGCTTTGATTATTTATGTACCACTTATGTAGGAAAAACACTGTAAATAAATTATAGAAATTTAGGGACTGATAAATAAATTATGGAATACATAATTATAATGTGCTGTTAAATGAAACAGAGAAAAGCATAATCCAAGATATTATGTTCAGAATAATTCTATTTTTACAAATTATTTCAAATATCAACACACAAAAATTCTGTTAGGCTATCTATCCTTGGTAGATTCTAGGTAGTGAGATTAAGAATAACATTTATTCTCTTCTAAGATTTCTAATGATTGCTTATAATTTATAAAATGAACATATATTAAATAATTAATCATTGAATGGGCTGAACTGTATTCCTCCCAAATTTATATGCTGAAGTTCTAACTCCCAGCACCCCAGAATGTGACTGTATCTAGAGATGATTAAGTTAAAACAGGGTCGTTAGAGTGGGCTCTGTGACTGGTATTCTTGTAAGAGGAGATTAAGGCACAGACAGCACAGACAGAGGGACTACCAACCATGAGGACACAGCAAAAAGGCGGCCATGGGCAAGCCAGTGAGAGAGAGTCCTTAGAGAAAACCAAACCTGTCAACACCCTAACTTTGGACTTCTACCCTCCTGAACTGTGGGGAAATAAAGTTGTTGCTTAAGCCACGCAGTATGTGATAGTCTGTTTCGGCAGCCTGAGAAGACGAACACAATTTTTAAAAAATCAAAGTATAGTTAAAAACTGATAGAGAATAAGGTCAAGGTGACTTAAGATTCTTCTTTCCAGCTGCCTGGAAATCTTGGTAAACTTCCAGGAATTGTGTCATGACAACTAAAAGCTGCTGTAAGATTGAAATAAATGAGTCTCACAACTGATCCTGACAGAAGAGGGACAAGACAGGCCGGGAACCCAGGCAAATTTTGAAAGTGAGCTGGTTGGTTTCTTTTAATTTCAAAGTCACACAATGGAGTTGCCACCACTGTGTGTTTTTTTCAACTTCAAAATGAGAGAGGTGAGGATATCTGACAATCCTATCTTCATGAATTTGAAGTGTTGTACTATTGAAGTGTTTCTTTCTTTTTTTGTACATAAAGTTTATAGCTCCTTTATTCATTGATTATCAAAACTTAAAAACATCAGCTATGTCCTTCAACAGAAGAACGGATAAATTATGGTCCATCTATACAATGGAATATAATACTAGTGAAAAACGAGATGCTATCAGACCATAAAAAGACATGGAGAACATCACAAGTGTTTCGTAGTTAGGAGAATGCTCACATGGCTAGAGCAGTAGTGAATTATTTCAACACAGCTGTCTCCTAAACAGTGCTCCATGGAAAATTCATTCTATGGGGTCACATGTACTTTCTGAGAAAAGGAGTTCCATAATCGAGAAAGAAATTAAACTAATTTCTTTAACATTTCTTAAAACCTGTAATATGCATTGTGAAATTTTAATGAGGAATGATGTAGGTGCCATGTAGCATTTGGTTCAGTGTACTTTAGCACAAAGTCCTTTTTTTTGGCAACTCTTAGGACTAGTGTTCAAGACACTCGGGGACACACAATCTGACCCAGTTATTATACTTCTGAAAGCCCTGCAATGGAACGTTTGGATAAGAATACAAAATCGCTCTCCTTAACATCAACTGCTCACCTTAACATTAATTACAAAAAGGTAGATGCTACACTGTAATTTAAAATACACAAGTTGGCCGAACCGGTTTGGCTCAGTGGATAGAGCGTCGGCCTGCGGACTCAAGGGTCCCAGGTTCGATTCCGGTCAAGGGCATGTACCTTGGTTGCGGGCACATCCCCACTGGGGGGCGTGCAGGAGGCAGCTGGTCGATGTTTCTCTGTCATCGATGTTTCTAACTCTCTATCCCTCTCCCTTCTTCTCTGTAGAAAATCAATAAAATATATTAAAAAAAATAAAATAAAATAAAATACACAAGTTGATCCGGAGTGGCTCAGTTGGTTGAGCATCATCCTATGCACCGAAAGGTTGCTGGTTCAATTCCAGGTCAGGGCACATACCTGGGTTGTGGTTTAGTCTCTACGGAAGGCAACCAATTGATGTTTCTCTCACATCGTGTTTCTGTCTCTCTCGTTCTTCCTCTCTCTAAGCATGTCCTCGGGTGAGGATTCAAAAGAATAATAAATAGATAAATAAATCACACAAGTTGATTGAGGTCATAAGTCTAAATGTAACTGTATATTATTTACAGTAGCATTAATGAAAAGAGATTTCACTCTTGATAAACAAAAGCTCTGCGAAGTAACAGTGACTCATTAAACATGGAAATGAGGCTTTTGTCCCCCACACGTACGGTTCAGCCTGGAAGTGGGTCTGGCAGTGGTGGCCGGAAGTGAAGCGGGCAGGATCTCGGATTTGATGGTGACACTGCTGACCGCACCATCCATCCTCTCTGCCTCACATAAGCCTGGCAATGGGGCTGCCTTCTCCAACGTGGGTAATAACTGATCAAACTGGTCAAGGTCAGCTGTAAACTAAGAATGGAAACCAGAGTTAGTTGGAGAAAGTATATTCTATACTTTCACCAGGAACAATGTAGAAAAAAAGTTGCTCCTTTAAACTCTATGAATTAAATGCGGCTATGAAAGAATGAAGAAAGAAGAAATAATTAGAAAGACTGAGACCTCATTGAAATTACATGACCTAACGATTCCACTGGAAAAAATTTGAATGCTTATGATATTAATATATTGCAGGATATAATATACACATATTTATCTAACATATCTCTGTATAAAACTTATGTATAGGAAAAAGATTGAACTGGAAAGAAGTGTTAAGAGTACAGTGACAGTTATCAATGGTAATTTTTTTGTCATATTTTTTCAAAATTTTGTGAAATGATTTAATGATGGAATAAAAAATTTACATATATATTTACCTTAATATATCTGTCTTCTAGGATAGATAAGGAATCCCAATACCTGTCTGAGGTTATGCACAGAAAAAAACTGGCCTTTATTTCACTGTATTCTTCTTCTTCTGTTACTCTGAGATAAGTCATCAACATAAAATGTCTACCTATTTGTATTTCATTATTTAATTCAACAAAAATTTATAGTTCTAGATTGTATAAATAGAACCATATGTATGTATTTTTAAAATGTCTAGCTTCTTTTACTTAGCATTACATTTCTGACATCTTGCTGCATGTAGTAACTCACTTGTTTTTATTGCTGAATAGTGCCTCATTGTACGAATGTGTCACGGTATATCCTTCTACTGTGATATATTTGGGGGTGTTCCCAGTTTGGGGCTAATGCAAATAAAGCTACTGTGAACATTTTTGAATGTGTCTTTTGTTACAAAAAATACTAACCATAAAGTAAAAAAATGACAAACTGAACTACATTAAAATGAAGAACTTCATAAAAAATCACCAACAACTGCCCCTAGAGGCGTTGCAGGTGTGGCTGCCATGTCCCGCCTGCGTCATTAGGTGGCAGAGAGCAGAGAGGCTCGCCTATGCCCAGCGTCCTGGCCGTGAGCACCTGGATGGTTGATGGCTTGACACGCGGGAAAAAAAAAAAAAAATCACCAAGAAAAAGAAAAGGCAAGCCACAAGACAGAGAAGATATCTGCAAATATAAAACCAATAAAGAACTCATTTAAAGTACATAAAGTACATAAAGAACTCTTAAAAGTCATTAGGAAAAAGACAACATATTGGGCAAGACATTTGAGTAGGCAATTTACAAAAGAAGAGATCCAGAGAAATTGAAACTATGAGATACCACTACACAGACCCAGAATGGCTAAAAATTAAAAGACTGATAAGACCAAATATTAGTAAAAATATGGGACAACTAGAAGGAATTCTCACACACTAGGAAAACTGGACTTATCTACTAATGATGAAAACACGGTATCTTATAATTCTGCAATTCCAATTTTAAGTCTGAACTAAGCAAAAATGTGTGTGCACGTGCATCAAAACAGGTGTACCAGCATTGTACGCAACGACATTGTTTAATACAGCTGTTATTTTTAAAGTTAATTTTATAGAGAATTTTAATTCAGTCATTATTTAAAACTGTTTTCAGCCTAAAAAACATGACTTTTAGCTTAGTTGTACTAAAAAACATGAGAGAAAGCTCTATCCTCAAAGAGCACACAAATAAATAATCAAAACAGTGTTATTACAATAGTAAACAGAGACAACCCAGAGCACTGTCAAGCGCAGAGGAAGGACATGGCTAACGAGGACCATGGGGAAGGCTGTACAGCGATGATGTCTGGATTGGTTTGTGAAGATGGGTTCAGCAGATGTAGAAAGGGGGGCAAGGCAGAGGATGCTTAGAAGAGGGGTGTATCCCAGGAATGGCAAGGACTTCCATGGGCCTAGAGTACAGTATGCCTGAGGGGAGAGAGCTTGTTGAAAGATGAGAGAAGAAAATAAAGCTGGTTCAAGAAAAAGGACTTATGCATACTAATTTGAATCTTGTCTGACAATGGACAGCCTTATTGATAAACTGCTCTGTCAATACATTTCTAGCTATTTTATGGATGTCTATATCCTGTGTAAATACTTTGTAAGCTCCTAGAGAGGAAGGACCATATTTTCTGTTTTTCTTAAATTCCTTCGGAGTCCACAGCAATGATTCAATACAGGAAGCTGCCTGTTAATTTTTACCCCACCTTCACCCCAGCCTAAACATAGAGGTAGTGATTCCATAACAATGTGTGCAGAGATTTACTGACATTTACTTCTGCTTCAGGGCATGTTACATACCCTACTACCCAGAATATTCAAGTCCTTATTCTGAAAGGGGCTTAGTATGGTTAGAATCAGATGAGAAGAAAAACAGCCGTAGAAAATGTTTCAAAAGAAACGAAACAGCAAAACAAGACAATATGGGCAGCCTCATCTACCTTTTCATTTTTCTCCCATGTCATTTACATCAGAGTGTCCCAAACTTAGCTACACATCACAGTTCTCTGGGGAACTTCTTTAAAAAATAGATTTCTGGGTACTATATTCTCAGATAGTATATTCAACAGCTAAGGTTGGGAGGAGAGAGCAGGAAAGGTATTTTTAAAAATCTCCAAAGATGTGAACTCTTGAGTTTATAAAAAAAAAAAAAATTTACTTTCTTAAGATGATGCCTTAATATTATAGCCCTCCAAAGTTCCAAAGAGCACTTCTGAAGGCACCCTATGATTTTTCAACCATTGATACTAACCTTTTAACATATACCCAATGGATAGGGCAAAACAGCCTGAATCCAAGTCTGGTTTAAGATTGGTGTAAAATAAATGAAAAGGAAAAAATTAACGAGCGATGTTCATTCTATGAAGTGAGGTTTACCCACCTGGTTCTGGGACTCCAGTTTGATTTCCTCAGGGGCAGGTTTGGTCATTGGGGTCGGGTTTGTGTTACAAGGGTCCATCTGTTCTTTCTTTTCCACTTTCACCTTTACATCATCCAGGCTCAGGTTTGGAGTTGATCTTAAATCTTTCTCATCTTTGTCTAAAAGGTAGCGTAGGAGTTGATGGTCTTTTGATTCTTTTTTCTTTGACGCATCCATTTCTAGTTTTATGGAGTTCCCTTGTGCCTGTCCAGTCACTGACACAGAAGCAGATGCACTGTCCTTTTTATCAGGCTCGACGGACAAGGTGGTGAGATCCGAGGGGCTCCCCTCCTGCAGGAGCCGGTGTAGAATTTTGTGCCTTTCTGTCAGTGAGCTGTGAGAGGAGGGGCAAGAGCCGCCTGAAGAGTTAGCAGAGGCAGAGCTGGAAGTGCCAGTGCAAGACAGTACCTCTTTGCAACTTGTGTCTATCTCAGCGTGCCGTAACTGCTGCTCCGCAGTTGTTGTCAAAAGCTGCACTAGTTTGTGACTGGTCTGAGAGTATTTGTTGTCTCCATCTGACAGTCTGTCATTGTTATGCAGAAGCCCAGAATCCAGAGGTTTGCCATCACTAGAGCTGTTGTCAGGCTGAATCATTTCATTTAAAATGGACGCAATCTCTTTGTTATCTTTGGACTCAGCTTTTGCTGGCTGCATATTTAATCTGCTAGGTGAATTCTGTGAGCTTATCTGTCTGAGGACTGGCGAACTGGCAGAGAAGCCAACAGAGTTATTGGGTCCTTCACTCATACTCTGTAAAGATGTTCCTGGGATGCTGGAATAAGATCGGCTACTATTGTTACAGGCAGTACTTGTCATGCCACCAGGGGAGCTTAATGTTGGGATATTAGGGGGAAAGGAATTGTTAGGCATCCTGGGCCTTGTTGCCAGTCCAGAACTAACTTGCCTCCTTGGAGACATGAACTGTGCGAGGGACACTCCTGTACCTTCCATAGGAGAATTACTGAGGTTTAAAGAGGGATTAGTGCTCTGGGAACTGGCCTGACCCTGGTTTAAGGCAACACCGGCTACAATCTGACTTCCAGGTGAGCATCCGAAACTCCCTTGGCTGTTGCTAGAATTACTGTGACTGCTGCTATGAAGGTCTGAGCTCTGTTGGCGGTTTACTCTGGTGGATACCATGTTGCTGTTGGATGGTGGCAATGAGGATGAACGGGCCAGCCCATGAGCTGGAGAGATAGTAGGATTGATGGAGGGGTTTACTCGGGGAATTGACATTCCAGAATTAGTGTCATCTTGAGGAGAAAGACCACTGTGTTCCCTAGGGGAGAAAAGACATTATTATTCAATCATCTGTATTGGTTTCGATTCAAATATTTTTGTGATGCATATTATAAAACAAGACCATTCACTAAGGAAAAACAGTGCACTGTGAAATACTAGCCGCACTTAATAGGAAGTAGAGCCGTGCTCTTGTAAATTTGATAATGGTTTCTGTTATATGGGAACAAAATCTTTCTTGGACTTGGGAAAAATATCTAATATATATACTTTTTATAATTTAGTACAAATAATTAGCATTATAATAATTTTGGTTGAAAGATAAACTTCCCACATCTCTGCTCACAAAGCATTTATTCATGACTCCCTTGTTAGTGCTTTTAAGTATTTCAACTCCAGAGAGGAAGACTGGGTAAGGAAAATACTGTGTCACTGATGTAAAAATTAAAAATGGTGACATGCTGACATAGCGGATGTTTTGAAAGAGAAATCACAATATGAAAAAAAGAACTGTGTTAATTCTATTCACAAGCATAAATTAAACTAAAATTAGGGAAAAGCAGAATACTAAATTCAGATTTTCATCGAGTTTTTTACTCAAATCCATAATTATGACAACAGATTTGTGACCGGTATTACCATGTTCCAATAAGCAAATATATCAGATGAGGAAAAGATGAAGTGAGGGGAAATGTCCTTGTTTCTGTTTAATGCTAAATTTTAAATACATAGCTGTAAATGTATGATTTTGAATAATTCATAGGATAAAAGAATGGTCCCATGAATTTACCATATATGCCACATAAATTTACCATATATACCAATGTAAGACATGTTTAGAGAGGAGAACAAATTAGGAACAATGATATTAAAAAATTTCAAGTTGATAGTTTAATGATTTGCGTTTGGAGAAACTATCAACTTGAACTCAGAAGCCATCAAAGTTTGCCCTAATGAAAAGGAAACATTTAAAAATAAAATAACAATATTAATAAACTCTCAAATCTTTTATAAGGCCATATATGGAAAGTTGAAAGTTTTTATCCACTTTTTTGATTTTTCCTCTAGAACACATATTTTCAGCCTCACCTTTCCTGTCTCCCTTTTAAACAACAAAGCTACTGTTAGGTGACAAAACTATAAAACCCAATGTGGATATTTGGATTATATATACTCATCACACAAGTTTAATGCCTACTTTAGAATTTCTATTTTTCTAGCCATTAAGAGTATAAAATTTTTTTCTAAAAAGAGATATGTGAACTGACTTATTTCATATGAGGCTCTCCAAATAAGTAGTACCTGTCGATGATATGAATTCCCATGATGAAAGGTTGCATGTCTGGACTTTGAGGGCAGCAAAATTTACACTTGGTGTGGGCGCTAAGCATTGTCCCATCATTCAATATGAATCTATAGGATGGGCTGGAGGCAGTGCCACGAGTCATCACTGTTTCAAACAAAAGAGAAACCTAGTTAAAATTCTGACACTTGCACTTTGGGTAAAGGAGTTACCAAGCCTTACTTCTACCTAGAACTTCATTCTTAATATGCCCTCCCAAATGATGCCTCCTCAGATTCAAAGAATAGTTCAAACAAAACAGATCTCTGAGGGGGAACATGATTCTGGCTGAAATATACCACCCGATGACAAGTTTTAATTCACTCCTACTTGAATGGGTGCCTTTTCACATAAGTTATGATTATGAAGAAACCCCAACCAGAAAAAAACCAACCTTAATCTTTCCCTATAATAGGGCAGCTCTTTAAATTTATTGTGTCCATTAAAAATACCAGGACATTACCTTCTCCCCTCTCACTTTCAGTATTATGTTTAACAAGTTTTTTCCCCTTTACTGGCTGATTTTTAATAACAGCTTTATTGAGATATAATTCACATATCATAAAATTCGCCCTCTAAGTTTTGATTTGTTTACAGAATTCCTTAACTAAAAGTCAAATTTAATTTTTCACTCAGAAATGAATTCCTTACTGAATTCCTTACCCATCTCAATTTCAGCCAAATCACTGGCACATTTACCAAATATAACACAGAAAGAAATTTAGTTTCTAATGAAAAAATAGATGATGAAAAAGAATCACGAAGGTCCTGTCTGACAAATTATTATATTCATATATGTATTATTTTTGATGGTTGAATTTAGCTTAGTAAGCAAATTAAGATAAAGCCAATGATTATTAATATAAGGAACAAAAACTTGGTTAAAGCAGTCAACTCACTATCTAAACAACATAACTTTCTTTTGTAACAAAGCTTTTACTAACAGCAGACAAAACTCTAGCCATATTGGTAAGTATTGTTAAATATAGGAAGGCCATGCCAAACTACTAAGTAAGAAAATACTGATCTTTAGTAATACAATATAATCCTATTTTAAGAAAGATTTAATAGGTAGCTTCAGCTATACCAAGCTTAAAAATCATATCCATGGAAACACAAGCATTACTACCACAAATTAAGATTATAATTTAGCCTGTAATAAATGCACTCCTATTTTCCAAAGACATTTCAGGAAAGACTTCAAATACATTTTAAAAACACGTGAAAAAGACTTAAAATGACATATTAATAAATAACTTCTGCAGCTATATATTACTTTAAGTCAGGGGTTCTCAAACTTTTTAAACAGGGGGCCAGTTCACTGTCCCTCAGACCGTTGGAGGGCCGGACTATAGTTTTAAAAAAAACTATGAACAAATTCCTATGCACACTGCACATATCTTATTTTGAAGTAAAAAAACAAAACGGGAACAAATACAATATTTGTATTTGCACGTGGCACGTGGGCCATAGTTTGAGGACCCCTGCTTTAAGTAAATAGAAGACATGTTTTATCTTATTGTCTTGTGTATACCATATAAACTGAGGAGGGTATAATCTGTTATAAATCTATACCATCTACCTAAGTACCAAAACCAGGATATAAACTTAATTGAAACAGTTAAAGATTTATGTGCAAACAACTGAATTCCTTACCTATCTCGTAATTTCAGCCAAGTCACTGGCACATTCACCACAGATAACACACAAAGAAATTTAGTTTCTAATGAAGTAACAGATGATGAAAATGTCTTTAATGAAAACTAATAATTTTTCTGTAAGATTATAAGTAAATGTTTGCAATAGCAAACCCTAAAAAATATTAACAATTCCTGATTAATATATTTTTGGAAAATACAATTATGATAAGAAGTGGCCTTTTGAGATAATTAACTTTTGGGATAATGATAAAGCTACAGTTATATAAAGGGCCAGAGAAAACACAGTATATTTCCTGTTATTTTGCATGTGTCATTTTGTCTTTATCCTCACCACTGTCGACTGCTCTTCAGGATTTCCCATCTCTGGGAAACCCTCACTGGCTTTTCACCACTGAACTAAAGTGTCCAGTATGGTAGCCATCAATCACATGTGCTAATTAAATGTAAGATTAAATAAAATTTAAAATTCAGTTCCTCGTCACATTAGCTACATTTCAAGCACTCATGTGGCTAGGGGCTCCCATACTGGCAGCACAGCTCTGTACAATCTGACTTGGACTTGAATTTCCAATCTTATTTCTCATTGCTTCCTAAACATTTCTTCTATATCTCTTTGTAGGAGGTAGATAACTTTTTACACACTTCTTTTTCTTTTTCAGCTCAAATAAACATAAGGGCACGTTTTATGCCCCATTTTTGTTTCTCACTCTCCATTGAATCTTGAACTATGATGCTATGCATATAAATTCATACAGTAAGTACTTGCTGATTGATTCTCAACTTAAATATCACCTAAATAGGGTAATATTGACCATAACTTTTCCTTAAATGATAAGATTTTAACTCTTGGCTTTGTTCTCAAATGCTTATGTTTCAATTTATGTGTCTGCTCTTGTAGGAATCTAAACTTACTTTTGTAATAGGAATGGAGACAAATTTCTTGATTTATTGATAAGAAATTTCAGGAAGAACTAGAAACTCAGGCTAGCATGGGAACATTAAGACACTTAATGTGGACTACAGAAACATCAATGGTCTTTTGGTAATTGTGCTGCCTTAACTTGTAGGACCATATCTAAAATAGTAAAAATTCCAAAACTGGAGAATCCTTATTGATACAAGGACATGGTTACACTTTAATGTTTGAAGTTAATTATTGATTTTGGGTGAGAATATGTAGAGTAAGACTTAGCACATCATAATTCACACATCACTCTTTGAAATAAAAAACATCAATATTAAATATAGTAAAACTTTAATTAGACTATCCAGTTAAAACTTTAATAAAGACTATCCAAAAAAAAAAAAAAAAGAGACTATCCAGTTAAATCAAACACTTCTAGTGCTCAGTTCAGATGGAGAGGTCAACAGGCAGGCAGCATATGGATCAAGAACCTAGGAGTCAGATTCAGGGTTGAATTTTTCAAGTTTAGGACTTAATAATGCACATTAACCTTTGCCCATCATCACTAAAATTTAGCCAATAATGTTGTGAGATAGTATCTAGCCTGGAGCCTAGAATAGAATATAGCAGAAACTGAATGTATATTCCTGAATAAACACCCCCTCCAAAAAACAGTAACAACAACAAATAAACAGGTTCCAAATTATATATGTCCTGAATCATATACACATTCAGCTGATGCCTAGACACCATTTATACCAATAACTGCAACCCCATAAAACAATCACTAATCTTTTGAATTAAGGTATGAGGAAGGAAGTCACAATTGTTTACAGAGCTGTTTGGATGAACATTTGCTCTGCAAACCAAATTATACCCATAAGTGGGTTTCAAGATTTAGGCCTGGACAAAACTATTTAAAATCTCAGTTTGATCACACGTTCTGGCCTTATTTTCTTATCTAGTTTTGCCAGGCATATAGTTAGTATTTTGATCCCTGATTTCTATGTCCATTTCTAAAAATTTAGAACACTTAGTGGGAAGGAATATTATTACTGACATCCCAGAACCTCTTCAAAGAACCTTTAAAATGGCAACTGTTCTTGTTGTCTCATCCCTCCTTCTCCCCCTCCCAGAATAGGCCTCAATAGAGCTACAAAGCAAAGGGAGCCACTTTCTCTGGTTATAGCAGCTGTAGAAATAGAGCTACTTGGGTTTTTTACTCCACCCAATTTGATGCTGAGTTATCCTCAACAACCATGTTAACTAAAGGGGCAGGTTAAAAATGTGTGTGGCAGGACAGCACAGGTCAGTGCTGGTAGAGATTTCTTTTTCTTTTTGGTATTTCTCTAGATACATGCAGAAATAATGCAATTTTAAAAACTGTTATTAAGGTAAAGGAAAAAAATTACTCCTAGATGGTTGGAAATTTTTAATCACCAATGAATAAATTCTAGTCAGTATATCAAAATTTCTAAACAAAGAAAAGTAACTCATTTTAAATTTTCTAAATAAAATTTGCATAAAAAGATTTTAAGTTAAGTCTGTTATCTGAACCATGGAATTATCCACATAACACAAGTCTTAAAGAACATTCTTGCTTAAATATTAATCACTATATATGGGTATTAATCATTTATTGGGTATTTATGTTTTCCAGCAATGCTTCCAAACTTCTTGATATTATAAACTGCTTCCAACTGTCTTGTGATATTTTTTAATTAAAATTATTTTGTGATTATAAAGTTAAGATAATAGAGAAATGAGCAAGAATAAGTAAAGTCATTTGTGATCCATCACTCAAAGATAACCACTGTCAACATTTTGCGAACCTTCTAGAATTGGATAAATAGATATACAAGGGTGAAATCGTACTATACATATATGCTGTGCTTTCTTAAGCTATTTTTCAATGTAACAATACATTACGAACATCTTTCAAAGACAAATGATCCATTACATCATTGATAATAGGTAAACAGAACTTTCATGTAACTTTTCTAGACTGTCTAGACTCTAGCCCAACATTTCCCATGACCACTACTCTCCCTAAGTGCTAATTGATGTGCTACAGATATAAGTATTCTGAGGAAAAATAAGTCTGGATAACAAAGTCATTGTTATGGTAGAACTTCCCAGAAATTTAAATTCCATAAATATGTCTAATGAATCACCAAACGCGGGAGATTAAAACATTTCCCAAACTTAATTCAGCAGGAAACATCATTTCTAGTTGTAGCTATGACTTGACTATCTTGTGGAACCTAGTGCACATTCCCAACATTTTCTGTAGGAAAACATCTTAGACTGTAGACTCTGATTCAGTAGTGTGGGTGGAGCACAAAAAGCCGGTTTAACAACTTGCCCAGATAAACTTTGGGACACAGTTTGGTGGGCAAACTGCGGCTCGCGAGCCACATGCGGCTTTTTGGCCCCTTGAGTATGGCTCTTCTGCAAAATGTCATGTGCAGGCACACATACAGTGCGATTGACACTTCGTGGCCCATGCGCAGAAGTCGGTTTTCGGCCTCGGCGAGTCTATTTTGAAGAAGTACTGTTGATATTTGGCTCTGTTGACTAATGAGTTTGCTGACCACTGAGACCTTTCTTTAAAGGCATGGTTCTGAATTGAACAGAACCTCAGAACCTTTCCAAATGATACACACCCGCATGGACCCTCTCCTAGTTTAAAAAGTTCCTCAAGTGTTGTTGTTTTTTAATTGATTAAGTTATTACATATGTGTCCTTATCCCCACATTACCCCCATCAACCCCCCCTCATGCCTTCACCCCCCTGTTGTCTGTGTCCATTGGTTAGGCCTATATGCTAGCATATAAGTCCTTTGGTTGATCTCTCTCCCTTACCCCCACCCTCCCTTACCTTCCCTCTGAGGTTTGGCGGTAGGATTGATGCTTCTCTGTCTCTGGATCTGTTTTTGTTCATTTGTGGAATATAATGAACAACATAAACTGATGAACAAAAACAGATCCAGAGACTCAAGTGGTTTTGATATCCATTTCTCCCTAATCTCAATGGAGAACCAACGCTGTAATCTAGCTCATGCTAATGTTCCCATATATGCTTTGGCTGAAAAGCATTTTCAAATTAGATTCTGGAAAATGAAATGTGAAAAGCAGTCCATGAGCTTCCCTGTCAAAAGCAGCTGAAAAACTAAATAAAAACCAACTTAAAACTTTAATGTATATTAAGATTTTATACCAGCCACTGCCTTCAAAGAGTAAATTAATGGACAGGAAAAAAGAACACAGATGGAGAACAAATTTTCTTGCCTAAAAATTAATCATTGTAGAATTTTACAAACTTTTAAGCTTTTCAAAAGTTTTATAGAAAATCAAGGATACACTGATAATTTATTGCACTCTTTTCACACTGTCCGTAAGTGAAGAAGCAGCATCAACCCTAGTTCTTAAGTTGATGTACAGGCATATCTCATTTATTGTACTTCACTTTATAGTGCTTCAGAGACAGTGCGTTTTTCACAAATTGAAGGTAGGACCCTCTATCAGCAAAAAGATTACGACTCGCCCTGACTGGTTTGGCTCAGTGGATAGAGCGTTGGCCTGCGGACTGTAGGGTCCCAGGTTCGATTCCAGTCAACCGCATGTACCTTGGTTGCAGGCACATCCCCAGTAGGGAGTGTGCAGGAAGCAGCTGAATCTATGTTTCTCTCTCATTGATGTTTCTAACTCTCTATCCCTCTCCATCTCCCTTCCTCTCTGTAAAAAATCAATAAAATATATTAAAAAAAAAAAAGATTACGACTTGCTTTACTGTGATACCCTCTCTATAACGTGGTGGTCTGGAACGGAACCTGAATGTCTCCGAGGTATGCCTGTATTTAAGCATTACCTTTGGAGCTTTTTAAGATATCTGGTTCCTCACCTGAGACTTTAATTCAGCAGGTCATTCCCATATAGGGGTGATTCTCGTGTAAGTGTTTAATTTTTCTTATCAGGTTAGATACGGCTAAATATAAAATATCAGAAAAAGATATTTTACTCAACCCATGCCTGCTGTTTGGCAAGTTGTCCTGAATCTCCAAAACACTAGAATCAAGAGTCATGTTAACTCTGGACAACTTAATTCTGAAAAAAACCCACAAATTATTTCTACTAAGGAATTTTTTTTTCTTAAAAAAAAAAAAAAGAGGGAAGATAAAACATTAAGAAATGACTAATGGGAAGAAGTTCTTTACAGTTTACTCTAAATTATTTCACTTCATATGCTAATGATAGATTAGTTACTTATTAAACTTTAATCAATCTATTTTATAGAGAATTCGCATAGTTTGTTTAAGCTGTGCTTCAATCACATCTATGGGGAGCCCAATCATTTGCAGAATGAGATAATAATCTAGACCTGCTTTGTCTTAGTGGGAATGTAGATAAATTATAAGCAAAAAAAAAAAAAAATTAAGTCTTAAATTAAGGCAAAAATCAGAGAGTATCATATACTTTAGCACTTTAGACAGTAGTGGAAACAGTACCCTGAGTCTTAAGTCTATGCAAAAGTAAAGTGCCACTCTTGGGAAAGGGAGTCACAAAGTGTACATCCAGGGGATGGCACTGGCTGTGTACTGTGATGATTTCTAGACCTGACTGCACTTTAGGACTCCCTGGAGAACTTTCTAACACAGATTCTTGGTCCTATTCACTGCAATATTATTTTTAGGGATGCTATCAGTCTAGTAAGAGGCCCACTGCGGAACCATCAGTCTGTAGGATGCTAGTGACAAGACTAGTGAGGTTCATACAGATGGCTTCCTAAAAAAAAAAGTAAGCTGTTTCCTCCATACATTAGGAAGCAGTTGACCTAAAATGTAATGAATGGAAAATCATCAGTAAACATAGGAAACCTAATATTATGGGAAAATGTTAACATCAAGAAGGATGATGGAATAATGAAAAGTATTTTTAAATTGTTTTTCAGGAATAGCCATGCAGAGAGTCTCTTTCCAAAGAAACTACTTAGAGTTTGGAAAATAAATTACATTGTGAAAGGGGCAGTAAACTAACATAATTACATGACAATATTTTTTAAGTGCATCAAAATCCCTTTATTTAGAATCTCTATGAACTTTCTGGACTTAATTCTAAGATAATTTTCCCTGTCTTTCCTATAATACTGTTAAGTTCCTTAAGGGCAGAGAATATACTTGTTTTATACTCCCATAGGCTTACTATGATGCAGCATCTATTCAATTATTATTAGTTTCATATGACATACCTATAATTTGAAACTTCAACCTGAGTTAGGAGATGCAGGTACTGTAACAGTCATGAAGAAAACATTCACAATATAGATCTCGAAGCCCTTTGGACATGCCTGTTCTGCTGGGAATGATCTTCCAGACAAAAATGCCACTTCCTCTCTGAAGCCATCTCTGATTCTTCAGGTCATAATTAAATTTTTCCTTCTTTTATTTATACCTCTATTATAGCCCATGTCACACTGATCTTTAAAACTGTCAAGTATTCTCCTAATACAATTTAAGCTCCTTGACACCAAAACCCTGCTTCTTAAACATCACGGTATTCCTGCCACCTTACATAGTATTCTATGCATGTGAGGAATTTTATACATGTCTGCCGAATGAATGAATGCACAAATGAATGAGTGACCACCACATGATATCCTAGTCTTTATAATGTACATCCCAAATTCAGGATCCACTCATGAATTACTTTGCTTACCCATTTCTTCCTTTCCTAAAACTGATTATTGCAAAAACTGTAATTTGGAGAAAATAGTTATCAAGCCATAAATTCCATATAAGTTATTCAATATTAATAAAGAGAAAAGTTAGTGAAAATAACTGAGAGAAAACTTTACCTTCTTGAAATAGTTGTCTGGCATAAGATGCCTCTCTGCCCTGAGGTTGGAAAAAAGCATAAATGCATTTTCTCACTAAATCTTCCCAGCCAGTTCTGCCAGCAGCTCTCAGGGAACTCGTATCAATAGAGATGATTTTACCTAGACAAAGAATAAAATTTTACATTTATGATAGCCTCCTGATCTAAATAATCTGTATTTCAAAATGAACAACCGCTTCTCAGAAATATTCTGCCTCCCAAATGCATAATGGAAAAAAGCATTAAAAAGCACTATTAATTTTTAGTACCTATGGTAACAGTATATCTGTGGCATGATAATGAAAAATTGTTTTGGCCTTGGAGTGTGTTACCTACTAGTATGTCATATTCTAAAATTCAATTCCAGCCAAGTATTAAAGGCACGCCATAAAGATCTGAAGCTGCTGGGACTAATGCTGCTCAGACTCCTCTGGCTTGCTCTACGGATCCTGCTCTCTAGCTACACACTAATGGCTGAATCACTCATTGGGGAAGGAGAGGCAGACATGAATATATTATTTTGGTAATTTATTTCCACCTACTCTTTAGTAAGAGCAGTTGGAAACGAACCTTTAAAAACACAATAATAAAGCATACAACATAGGAATATTAGATTTCTGGGACAAAAAAATTAGTAAATATTGTAAGAGGATCTTATAAACAATGGTAAAGATGAAAAAGTACATGAAAACTAAACTTTTCACAAAGAACAAAATTTAGTAGAAATGATCTCTCTCTTTATTAAAGAGGTGAGTGAAACATATAACTCTGATGTAAAAACAAAAACGTGATGCGCTAGAGTGAAGATTAAATAACATGAAAAATATTTTACAGTTTGTAAAGAACAGTAATAATTTGTTTTTGATGAAAATCAAACCTGAAGTAGCCTTTCAAAGAAGGCCTTATTTTCAGGTGCTGTCACCTTTCCTCGCCCTGTGGCTCGCGTGCCCTTCTTTCAGTTCTAACACACTCCTGCCTCCTGGGGCCCCCGCAGCTGTCTCCTCAATCGGGAGCGCTTATTCTGCCCCGTGCCCCTCCCCACCATTCCCTCCCAACACACATAATTGGCACCACCTCAAACTTAAGGGTTCAATATCAGCTCCTCAGCCAGGTCTTCATTAACCAGCTGATTTTAAACAGGTCCTCCTTATTAGCTTACCTTACCATCTCACACCTTTTCCATCATAAAACATATCATGATTTGTAATTACATCATTGCTTTTTGCTCAACTGTGTACACTCTTAAGCAATCATACATAGTGACAGGCATTTCTAGGTATTCAAAAATTATGTGCTGAATAAATTTAAAGAATAAAGAAAAAAATAGCCAGATACATTTAAGCATAATATTAAAACCACCATACTTGTATCCATTTATAAATATATGCATTTAAATCTACATTGTCAAATAGCTTTAAAAACTTTATTCCATGGTTATGAAAAATAATTTATAATAAAAACAAATATAAGTATATGAAAAGTTAAAAATAACAATGATTATAATATCTAAAATGCACAACATCAAAACCACCACTTAAAATGTTTTCTGTATAAGACAAATGGACATAAGTGGAAAAGCAAAGAACAGATGGACACAATATCTGGGATGTAATTAATTTTAAAAGCATAGCTGACATCATCAATACTGATGGAACATTTTTAACTTTGCAGTTAATACCTGTAGTATCTTGCTTGGTCATAAAGGATTCTACACCCGTAATAGCTGGAGGCCGAGGTAATCTCCGTGCAATACAAATCAAACATGACTGGAAATCTGCCCAAAACAAGAAAGGGAAAATGAAGAAAAAGGGTAGAAAATGGTTCACAATCTATAACTTGATATTATCAGTTTTTATAGAAGTAATACATTTTATAGGATCTGACACTATACTGGAGTCACTCTATATAAAAGTATAATGCTGGAAATAAAATTGCTGGCAACCAAAAACAGGAAGCTCCAGGTAGAGATCTAGTTAGCATAAGTAATTCCTTCCCATTGACTGTTCTTACCTAAACTAGAAACTAGAGGAGACTGATGCATCTCATGTACTTGGATGATAAAAACTCCAAGTAGTTTTGCCTAGATTTAAGCAACACAGTGAATTTTAAAATACAGTTCTATGGTCAATTTCCTATACGCATCAGTACTTAATGGCTATAAAAATTATTCGTAAGTCCTGGCCTGGTAACTCAGTTGGTTAGGGCATCATCCTGATATGCCAAGGTTGCGAGTTCAATCCCCAGTCAGGGCACATACAAGAATCAACCAATAAATGCATGAATAAGTAGAACAACAAATCAATGTTTCTCTCACTCGCTCTCCCTTCCTCTTGCTCTCTCTAAAATAAAATAAAAAATGTTCTTTTAAAAAAAATTAATTTTTGTAGCCATTAAGTACTAATGACTATAAGAAATTGACTATAGAATGTATTTAAAAATTTACTGTGTTGCTTAAATCTAGGCAAAACTACTTCTGTGCAGATAATAATTATCTATGAGAAAAACATTTAACTCTTTCTAAAGAAGCATAATTTGCCTTTGACACAGGACTTTATATTGTAGGATCTATAGTTTTTTCAAAGTTCCAGCTCCAAATTTTTTGAATGTGCAACATCACATGGCTAAATATGAACTTTATTCATATAAAGCAGCCCTGCATGTTTATTTTATAGAAAGTCCCCAGTTGATCATGGCACTCTTCCCTGGTGAGACCAGCTACATACTAGTACACAGCCTTTTTTTTTTTGCATCTGACTGACTTCTCATCTCCTACCTTTCCCGGTCCTTATTCCAGTTTCCAATTTGTGGTGTTCTTAACTTAGCTCAGTCTGAGTTCACATGGAAAACTCATCCACTGTCACATATTTAACTAAAGCCATGATGATGCCATGTTCATATTAGAGCTTCGGCTGTGTTTTCATCTGTTCATAAGCCTTCTCTTTGTAAATTACCTTGTATAGCCTCAAAAATGCTAACTCTATTCTCCAATGTTCCCTGCACTCTTAACTTGAAACTCAAAAAAAAATCAGAGCTGTTCAACAGCCTGCTGCATCTGGTATGTTTCCAACTGGCAGCAGTTAGCGACATCTCTTATTTCTAGGCAGCAAGTTGGTACGAATTTGACATTTTACTAGGAATGCCAGCTTAAAATTGAGAAATTGGGGGCATTTTAAAGGGGTGATTATAGATGTTAGCAATTTTTTTTCTTAAAAATTAAGAAATACATAGCAAGTTGAACAGCCATTATGATATATAATACAGTAACCAAAAATACTATCCTAAGAAGGCAGTTTTTATAATCAATTACCTCCCTATTCCTGAAAGCCATGGAAAAAGCAACTAAAAACCTTAAAGTCACCCTTTGTTTTACCTTCTCCATCTTCTTGAATTGATTTTGGCTGTGACACAGTGAAACACTGCATTACTTCATACCGCTGGCAAGCTTCTGGGTTCTCAGTGCCTGGCTCATCTGGCGGGTGAATTAGCATCCTGCAGTTAAAGGTATGGCTATTTCGTCGTGTTGCCTCTTGAGGCCAAGGAACTCCATTTACTGCGGAAGAGAAATTGATTATATCCCTGAATAAGTGAAAAAGTACAAAATCTGAAGATACAAGACACATTTAGCCATCTATTTAATTAGGTACTCAGATTAAAAGACAGAGAGACCTCATCAGATCTAATGTTATCCTGAGGCAACAGAATACTTATCTTCCTTAGCAAATGTAAATGTCTACCAATTTGAAAATGGTAAAATTTCTAAGAGACTGTATAGGATTTCCTCTCTCAACGATAAGGCCTTACAAGTACCCTAATTCATTAGCATTCTTTATATATAGAGACAAAAATTATAAATTAATAGTTTACTAGCTCTTTTACTCAAATTTAACAGCAGTTAACAAGCTTTTCCATTTTGTTTCCAGTTATAGTCTGGCAATAAAAATATGATTGAAAACCTTAGGTCCATTGTCAAGCAGGAGTTTTAACCTGGCAGGCGTGAACTTTTAAGGATGGGCTTGTGCACCTTTTTGGATTCAAAGTTTCTCAAAGGAGTCTGTGATTAAATAAAATATTTAGAGTAGATAGAGAACAACCTTGGTTTATTATAACTATTTTTTCACAGTTTATATAATACTCTGAATATTGTAGATAATCAGTAAGTTATTACATAAAAATGACCATTAAAACAGAAATGTCACCTGATTCAGTAAAAGAAAACTGAATCTAGAATTCTAGAAAAGATGCCTGTACATTTCTTTTTTTCTTCTTCTTCTTTTTTTGTTTTGTCTGTACATTTCAAAAAAGAATTTCTGTTTCTGTTTGGCAGGTCACCATTTCTATTGACGCTCTCTCTTTTTTACAATCTCATCACTCTGTAACTGTTAGGAGGAAATCCTGGAAACAAACCTACACTGGAGTAAGGAGTCTTGGTTCTGCTACAGCTAGTGGTGAGGTTTGGGTTAATTACTTAATCTTTGCCTCATCTTTAAAATAAAGGAATCCACAATATTATCTCTAAAGTCATTTACACTCTAAAATAACAAGACACATAAGATCCGTTCACAATTCACATGTCGGACTAGTGATTTTAATAAAAACAATCATGTCAGGTCCTCAGTTACTATAGTACTCTTTTCAAAGAGGAAATAAGTAAACAATGTAAAAAATAAAGAGCAATGGATAACATTTTATTTGTATGTTTGGTTTAGTCATATAGAATTTCTAGCCAAGGTCCTCCCTCCAGTTTTGGAGCAATATGCACATGGCTCAGTGAATGGAGCAGAAAGGCTGGAAATCAGACCCTATCCATTCTCTAAGCTAGGCTCCTTTGTCACTTAACAACTCGTCCAGTCATTCTTAGAACTCCTGAGCTGAAACCACTTACACCCAAAAATGTTGATTTTAATAAGTACATAATATGATAGTATATCCCTCCTCCCTCCCTCCCTTTCCCTTCTTTCTTCCCTTCCTCCCTTTTTCTCTTTGAGTAGGGTGGTGGGAGGGATACTCATTTCTCTCTTTCTTGGACATAATAAAAATGGAAAACAAAGGGAATTTCAAGCTGACGCTTCTGCTTGGCCTCCCATTACCATCACATTCCCGTGGCACAATCTGGAGGAAGAGGCGGAAAGCCTCCATCAGCTATTTGATGGCATTCCCTCTTCATATTTACCTCTCGGACTGAAACTAAATTTTAACACATTGTATGTGGGAAACGTATTTATACGTTTTACGTATTTATATGTCCTACCAGTGTAGTAGAGCACGGGACACGTATTAATACGTTTTTTATAGACTAGCAGTAGAATGCAGGTAACGTATAAATACGTAAACTAAAGTTATTGTAATTTTACTGAACGTTGACATTTGTGCAAAAATGGCCCGCGCCACCTGTTAGCGCGTGATAAAAACTACCCGCAAACAATAAAATATTTTAATATATAACATACATTTCTTAGAATAATACCATGTATTTATAATACTAGTATATTATTATATTTTATATTTAGGTAAATAATATATTTACATAAAGAGAAGCTACAGGGAGTTCATATTCTTTTAAGAAATACATTTCTTTGTACCTAGTGATTTTGGTAGCAGATTCTTCACAAATTCAGCATGATCCCCCACATGCAGTATGCTGTAGACACTGGTATTCATTAATTCTTCCTGATTGTAACCCAAGTAGCTGGTCACATTCTCTGACACAAATACAATTCTCCCTTCACAGTTCACAACAAAGAAAAATCCATCCAAAGCCTGCAACACCAAAAAAAAAGCAGGGGGGGGGGGGAGGGTTAAGAGGTTAAAAGATAAAAAGAAAAATAAACATATACTGTATACTTCTGATTTGAAAAAGAGGTCAGCAATATATGTCAAGTTAAAAAAAAAAAAGGAGTGAGGGCTGAATAGGTGATTTCCTATTGCGTGCTCTCTGTGGACAGGACAGGACTTTAAAACAGTACACTAGTGTTTCAGGTAGGCATAAATGAATATGTCAACTTTCTTCCTTAGAGAGACTTTTTTTTTAATTTCTTTATTGGTTAAGGTATTACAAGTGTGTCCTCATCCCCCCTTAGAGAGACATTTTATGGTAGCAGATCTGAAGTGACTGACCTATGCATTCATTTCTACCCTTAAGGAGCTTATGGTAGAGTGAGAGACATAAACATAATAAATTCCAGTGATGAATGCAGTGTCAGAGACATACACAGACTATTCTATGGACGAAGAAGGATACTTAATTTTGGAGGGGGGGGGGCGGTTTGAGGGCAAAGAAAGCTCCTTACAGGAGTTTTTAATAGTTATAAGAAACCAATAAAAAAGCCCATCCTCCTACCTTAGTTATAAAAGGAACAGTCAAGGAGGGGAAGAGGAAGAGAGAAGAACAGTCTAGGCAGAGGGGAGAGCGTGGCAGTGCATAGGAGGCCCAAATCACAGAGATAGAGCCAGGGCCTCCAGAAGCAGATGCATGGCCCCAAGGGGAACAGAAAACCCACAGGGGTGTAGTAAAAAGTTAGAACCTCCCCTTAGAGTGTAATTCAAAACTTGAGGAAGAAATTAAGCTTAATAAACATAACCACACCCTGGTACCTCATTCAGTACTGACAGTCACATATCACAAACTGTGGAATCCCAAGAGAAGATCCAGAATACAGAGGTGGACGGTGGCCCCTTACTTATTTATAATCCTTCCATTTACTGAAATATATTGCAGTTTACTTGCTATAGAATGCATATGAGCAATAAAAACAAGACCTTTAAAAAACAGAACATTTACAGAATCTTGTAGTGAGAGACAAACCCTTTGCATCACCTAGGCGTTTGCTGGCTATCTGTGACAAATTCTGAGAAGGGCTGTCTAACAATGTTTATGGGACTACTAACTTTCTTTTTAAGAGAGACACGTGTCCCAATTTGCTGACCTTTTCTATGAGACAAGTGGTAACGATAATATGCTACCGAGCAGATATTTTCCAAATAATAACACATTTAGTTTTGTAACTCAGGTGAATGAGAGGTGAAAGGACATTCAAAACAGAGGAAACAGCTCAGAGGTTAAAAAAATCACTTTGTATGCACTTGTAATATATGTGTTATATTTAACAGTAAGAAAAAAAAATTTTTTTTTAAAGCTTCAAGGAAAAGCAACAACAAAAATAAGGAATTAGTCCCAAAGGCAACAGAGATCTTCTTGAAGGCACCATTTTTATAGGAGAGTGACATAATATACTTTTGCAAAGATCTTTCTGGCAGTGGTGTGGTGTGGCGCTGGGAAGCAAGGAACTCAGTGGCAATGCTATTGCAATAGTCCAGTTCAAGTAAGAGCCTGAATGAAGGCAATGGCAGTGGAAGCCGAGAATTTGACAGAAGCAGAACAAACGGCACCTGGTCATCTGCAGCACCTATGGGAATACACATCTGGGGTGATTCTTCACTAATGATTTTAGAGTCCTGGTAGATAAGTGCCTTTCCCTAAGGGACTCAGGGGGGGAAATCTAGTCTTTTCCTTTTTAACTTTTTCTTTTTATAAACTGAAGTTAAAAGGAATGATTATAAATTTAGTTCTAGAAATACTGTATTTGAAATGACTGAGGAACATTCAGATAAAGATGTTCAAAGGGCAGCAGGATACCATGAAAGGGATGCTCTGAAGAGAGATCATTTCGGTTTAGAAGTACATGTATCATCTGTGTGGGGTTTTTTGTTTATTTGTTTTTAACTACCGTCATCTTTTCTCCTTTCACAGAATATCTGGTTTCCTTTGGGGAGTTACTTGTTCCCCATTAAATGAAATCTTATGGGATTCCTAATCAGGCCATTGGGAGACCTCCGCCTGCCTAACGGTGAACCTTGCAGAGAATGACGAAAAGACGGAACTTGGCTGGAAAACATTCATTCTAGCAGCAGGGTGCAGCCCAAATAGGTCTTTCTCAGAGTCTACTTGAATAGTTTTGGCTTTCTAGCCTCCTTAAGATATTTTGTTTTCATCCTATTTTCAAGCATGGTTCTGTGATTTCCAAATAGCATTCCAATAAATTCACATTTACTTAATTTCGTCCGAACTGTTGTCTTTTGCTTGGAATCCAGAGAATCCTAACTGATGTTTTTTGTTTTTAATATATTTTTATTGATTTCAGAGAGGGAGAGGGAGAGGGAGAGAGAAATAGAAACATCAATGATGAGAGGGCATCATTGATCGGCTGCTTCCTGCACGCCCCTACTAGGGATCGAGCCCACAATCGGAGCATGTGCCCTTGGCCGGAATCGAATCTGGGACCTGCCAGTCCACAGTCCAATGCTCTATTCATTGAGCCAAACCAGCTAGGGCCTAACTGATGTTTTATATACACATATACATGTGCACACATACACACCAGTACATCATATAGACATAGACGTAGATCCCAAACTTCCCAGGAAATGCGCACAGAATTAAACAAAAAAAAAAGGGAAGAGTCAAGGTCAGAACCCTGGAGAATGCTAACGTAAGAGGAAGGCAAAGAAAGAGAAATGTGAGACAGAGGTTAAGGAACAGCCAGAGAAGAGAGGTGGTCATTCTATAGAAGATGCCACGGGAAGAGTTTTAAGGAAGAGGGAATGGGTAGTCAAATGTGCCAAGAGCCACACAGCAATGCAGGGATGATAAAAAGCAAGGTAAGGAAGCGTGGATGCACATTCAAGATGTAGGGAGACCCTGGGACAAAACCAGAATTTTTCTTGGAGTCCAGAGGGAAATAAGAAGCATTAGAGCCAGATAACACAGAGCTCTGAATAGGAGGCAACAGAATTTAGACAACAAGGAGCCGTGGAAATGAGGGGCTTAAAAAAATGCCTGTACTAAACCTTAGCTATGGTGAATTGGGCTGCTATGAACATAGGGGTGCATATATCCTTTCTAATTGGTGTTTCTAGTTTCTTGGGATATATTCCTAGAAGTGGGATCAGTAGATGAGTGGATTGAAAAACTGTGGTACATCTACACAATGGAATACTACACTGCGTTAAAAAAGAAGTTCTTACCATTTGCAACAGCATGGATGAGACCAGAGAGCATTATGCTAAGTGAAATAAGCCAGTCAGAGAAAAATAAATATAGCATGTTCTCACTCATTTATGGAATATAATGAACAACACAAACTGATGAACAAAAACAGATCCAGAGACAGAGAAACATCGATCAGACCTTCAAACCTCAGAGGGAAGGTAGGGGAGGGTGGGGGTAAGGGGGAGAGATCAACCAAAGGACTGTATGCATGCATATAGGCCTAACCAATGGACATAGACAACAGGGGGGTGAAGGGATCAGTGGGGAGAATGGGGGGGGGTGTAATGTGGGGATAAGAACACATATGTAATAACTTAATCAATAAAAAAATAAAAAATAAAAATGCCTGTACTGATGAGTATTTACCATGGGCCAACAGACATTTGTTAAATAATAAATTCTAATACCACTGTCTCTTTAAATGTGGGGGAAGTACTTCTAATAACTTCATTCTTTTTTAAATACCTTCATTCTAAATCCATGTTACTTTTTAAATTTTACGTTTTAAAACGGTGGTGGGGAGACAAGTTGTGGGGTGAGAATTTCTCATATTATGATGGATGTTCGGACACAGTTAGATGTGCAGATCTTCTAGATGAGCAAGTCCCCTCCAGATCAATATTGTAAAACAAGAACTTCCTGCAACACTGGAAGTATTCTGTACCTGCAATACAGTAGGCACTAACCACATGGAGGCACTGAGCACTTTAGTGGCTGCTGAGACTGAAGCTCTGAATTTGTTATTTTATTTAATTGTGAATAGCCACGTGTGGCTAGTGGCTATCTTACTAAACAGTGCAGCACTAGACTGCAGCCTACATGATGCAATGGACAATTTCCTGGTGGCTTTTGGCCACCTCTTCTCGGCTTCACTGGAACAGACTCTACAAAGTTTAAGGCAATGAGGATGGGGTTGGAGAACAGAGAAGAGGAATAGAAAAGGCTGTCCATGAAGGCAACTCTGAAGTCAGTAAAAGTTAGTAATTCTATTATACAGTCTCTGTTCCATGTATCTATAGCTCATAAATACAAGTTATTATTTGCTCGTTAGAGTCAAGAACCTAAATATATCTCTGAGTTTTTGAAATTTCTAATTTGATGTTCTGCTTTCACATTTGAAAAAGCTTGCCTAATGACATTTAATCCGTGTGTAATGTTGTGTTACAATTTCCCTTTGATTCATAGTGGTTTTCAGGGTAATAATTTCATCAGCTAAAAAAAAAAAAACATCTTACTTTGTTTTCTTGTAGTTTTGAGTGGATGTTTTGCTGTCATTTCTGTTCATTTTAAAGTGTTGTGGACCTTTCTCACGCAGCAATAACAAATGTTTACATAAAGTAAAGTAGCAGTAGCAGTATTCTGTCTGCAGTTGTGCTGCACTCAGCTTGTGGACCATCTATTTGCTCTCCTTGTTGATCTCTGTGGTTTCTGAAGAACGTGTGGAACTAGGATTGAAATGATGACATTTTCCTACAGGAACTCCAGAAACCTCGAGGCCCTCTATACCTTATATTTATTCATGATCTCAAATGACATTATATGAAGAAGATAAATTTAATGAGTATTTAAAGAAATGAAAGGAGACAGAAGATTCTTAGGTTAGTTTTAAACTCAGAGCACCAAGAAGGCAGGTAGAACTCCCATAGAAAAATTAGAAGATATGACAAGACTCATCTACTAACACCCTGCAGAGGAGCAGAGATGAGCAGTAAACGCTGGGCTGGAGCAGGTCTCCGGGAAGGGCCTACGTGTAACCAAGTAGCGGGACAGTGACAGGGACCAAGCAGGGGGAAGATGAGGGGTAGAAGTGGGAAATGAGCCTAAGTACTTTTCTTTCTTTAACTTATTTTCCTCTAACAGCTTATATTAAAAATTTTCAAAATATAGCAAAGTTGAAAGAATTTTGTAGTGAACATCTATATATTCACCACTTAGATGCTATCATTAAAATTTTTACTATACTTGTTACAACAAGTTGTAACACTGTTTCTGAACTGCAGTCGTGTTTAATGGCTTGTGAAAAGAATATAATAAAGAAAATCAGAGTCCATCACTTGTGGTAGCTTCCTCCTCTCCCACTTACATGTGTCTGCATGCGCTGGCTCAGAGAGAAGCTTCTAGCCAGTATCCAATGCCTTCTGTATTTTACGGTTCTAAACAGTATGTGCTCATTCCCTAATAAAAATCATCACAACCAATAGTCTAATGTTATAAAGTACTGTCTAACATGGAGGAGAAATAAAGAATTTAAATTTTGAGGGGAGAAGAAGTTGCTGATACGAGAGTCAAAAATGTTTAGCAGCCTGTTAAAAGTACAGAAATGGAGTATGGGAAGAGGTTAAAGCAAGAAAGTATATATTTGGGTGTCATCTCTTTAGAGATGAAAGGTGAAGCAAAGAGAATACATAATATTTCTGGAACCAGAAAAGCAAGAATAGAGTTTTGAGAATGTTCTCACATCAGCAGTGTTGGTAGAAGGAATTATGGTTAATGCAAAGACACAGAAATAGGGCAAGAGGAAAATATGTATGAAGAAGTTAGAAAATAAAGAGACCCATACACGTTTGTTAGAAACACTTCACCAGAAAAAAAGGGCCTTGAGGTAGGATAAGAAAAGAATAATCTATTTTATGTCTAGCTATATCTCTACTTTATATATGTAGTAGAATACATGTTAAAATTAGGGCTAGAGATGGAAGAGTATACACTGTGGGCAATAAGTGTGTACATACACATACATATATTTTTAAACATTCATGTATGAGAGTGAACATTTAAGGTGATGAGCACACTTGGAAACGAAACATCTGTGTTGAGAATAGAGGGAGTTAAAGATTAAATAGAAAAAACAGGAGTGAAATTACACAGCAATTACAGAGTAATTCCATTTAAAAGTTCTTTACTTTAAAAAACTTGATAGAAGGTTGTTAAAATAGTACATTCTCTTAGACTGTTTCCATAAACAACCAATTTTTAGTCAGAAAACTTTTCAGGAAAACACCTACTGCAAACAATGAGGCATCCCTTATTCAAAGACGAAATTCTATCGTAGACACACAGATAGCACTAGCTAGCTAAAGAATTCTGTTTTAGTTTCCCAGCTAGTCCTAACCACCACAGAAATAAATGGCAAAGCTCTACAGTAGGCTTTAGTTTTCCATCTCACTATTTAGAATGCCTTCATGAAAATGTCTTATGATCATTATTAACATTTAATTCTGAAACAGTAACAACTGTCAAAATAGTTCCCAAAATAAGTATTCAAGTTCTTTAAAACTGTACTTTGTTTTATAATTTATTAACTGGTTATAAGAGACAAAAGAAGAAAAACCCCAAACGGGCTGGAACAGAGCGTCTGCTGACTTTCCGAGTCAGTGAGAACAGCTACCTCCAAAAGAAGAGGCCCCAAGGACTCCTTTTCTATCACTCCTTGACTGCTCGATGAGATGTCCGACTTCTGTACTTCGTCATCAGCTGTTGATTTCTCTATAATAAAGAACCAAAAAGGCACACATCCAAAATGGGCTTATTTCTAGAATGACAAGTTTAAGAAGACACAGACTCACCTAATTTCAGATACAAATAAAATAGATATTTATTATCTAGGCCAGTGATTTTCAACCTTTTTCATCTCATGGCACACATAAACTAATTACTAAAATTCTGCAACACACCAAATACATTTTTTGCCAAAAAAAAAAATAGGTATGATTTTGATACATTCACACTGGATGGTTACTATTGTGTTGACTGCTGCCATTTTTTTATGTGGTAATCTAAGTGGGAAGAGCTTAGTACCCCTAACTAGTACTAACAGGTATTACATGTTTTAAAAATTTTTGTGGCACACCGGTAGAAAATTGCTGACCTAGGCACTTTCACATTTAGTCTTAATTATACTTGTTTTATAGAAGATAAAACTGAGGGTCATGCCCTGACCAGTTTGGCTCAGTGGATAGAGCGTGGGCCTGTGGACTGAAGGGTCCCAGGTTCGATTCCGGTCAAGGGCATGTACCTTGGTTGCGGGCACATCCCCAGTAAGGGGTGTGCAGGAGGCAGCTGATCGATGTTTCTCTCTCATCGATGTTTCTAACTCTCTATTCCTCTCCCTTCCTCTCTGTAAAAAATCAATAAAATATTTTTTTTTAAAAAATTGAGGGTCACAAAGGTTAAGTAATGCATTCCAAATAATGTAGTAACTAATTAGTGGCACTAGGAGGACTTGAATTCTGACCTACAAAGTCCAGTGTTCCAACAGTGAGAAAAATGGTATAATTCTATAGCCTTTTAAAAAGTCTACACCAAAAAATTTAAGAAATGGATAAATTGTAAAAGAATAATTACTTTTGTCATTTTTTTTTTTTCTGATCAATTGCCACTGAAGAGAAAGTGAAGATATAATTTTTCCTTTTGGGAGTCTGCATGAACAACTAACCTTTCACACTCATGTCATGATGATCTGACTGGCAGTAAAACTAACTGCTGGAGTGCTTTGAAATTCTTTTGTGTGATGATGTTGAAAAATCCATCCATTATCTTAAAGCAGCATCATACTTAAATAAAAGTTTCCAATCTGTCAGATGAATTAGTTCACCAAAAGCCAAACATAGTATTATTGAGTATTGCAATTCGTTTTTTTACTTTAAAAAATGCAATGTTTTAAATATTCCAAAAAATTCAGAAAATGACATGGCATACATTCACATAGTAACCATTCATTTTTCACTGATGTTAACAGTATTTGCTTCAGGCCTTCCCTTTTAAATTAACACAATGCTGCAAATAGAGTGAAGCTCTGCCGCCATTCCTCCTCTTCAGTATTGTGAGGTCACAATAATAATTTCCAAGCATGATTTAATACTTAAACTACATATGTATGATTTCATGAACACTATATTATTGTTTTGTGGGTGTAAAGTGTGGTTTTGATTGCATTCTCTGATGGCTATGACATTGAGCAATGTTTTTCATGTGCTTATTGGTCATCTATATGTCTTCTTTGGATCAATGTCTATTTGCCTGCCCATTTTTAATTAGGTTATTTATTTTTATTTTGAATGTTTCATTTTATAGCATTTTGTTCTTGTTTCACGGATAAAATAGTTTTCCTTCTGTCTCTACGGGACGGTTTGGTTTTAAGTTTTCGTCTGCTCTCTGTGTTGTCTCTGCTTTCTATGAGTTACTTTTTTCTGTTTGTTCTCTTTTATATTATAGGCTTTCCCCAAGTATTTAGATTTTTATTCAGATTAAAGAGTGGTAAACTGAAGTGCTGATTGGCAGCTGTGTGAAGAGTGGGAGCAAGGCAAGGAGCTGATTTTTTTCATGTGGGGATCTTTCGCAACTGTCAGTGTTTATGTGCTGTTCCTTTGGATGCTCAATTTCCCCACGGGAACCCTCCCACCTTCAACTTAGGGACGTGAGCCAGGCTGTCAGGGTTTTGAGTCGACTGAGCAGGGAAGGGGCCATATGCCTCTTGTTGGCTCTCCCCTTCACAGGCTCACCATACCCGTTTCTGCTGTCTGCTAAATAAGTTGTCACTACTAGCCATTTTCCAACTTCTAAAATCTTAAAATCATATCACTTTAATCATTTTAAACATATTTGTTTATAGTCTTTTCACACCGCTTCTATTAATCTGAAATTCTTTTGGGTCTAGTCCTTGTGTTGGTTATGTGTGCTCTTACTCACTATAGGTTATTCCCTCATATATTATATCAGTTTTTAGAATAAAATCCCTCAGAAGCACTCTTTCTTTGGGAATCCCGTGTGGCCAGGTGTGGGAGTGTTTCTCCAACGTGTTTTGCTTTTGTTTCTGGTAGGCAGCCCAGGGATTTTCTGGTGTGGGGGTCCCTAATAAACGTAGATAGTATATAAATCATAAAAATACATCAGGGCTTTCCCAGAATCCAGGCAGAAAGAGGCTCATTATTCAGATGGAAGGATTCTCGCATCATTGAGTTATTGTCTTTCAACTCTCTGTCAGAGCCTCAGATCTCACACCACTATTTGTGTCCCCTGGCGCTACGCCCTGGTACTGGGTCCCATAACCTCCCAAGGCAACCAGTTTCGAATAAGCCACTTTCTTATAACAAGAGGCTCTCAGATTTACTTTCTAAAATAAAGTGAATCTAAACAAAAATGTTTCTTTAATAAAATTACGAAGTTCAATGCAACTTCTTTTTTTTTTTTTTAAATATACTTCATTGATTTTTCACAGAGAGGAAGGGAGAGAGATAGAGAGTCAGAAACATCGATGAGAGAGAAACATCAATCAGCTGCCTCCTGCACATCTCCCACTGGGGATGTGCCCGCAACCCAGGTACATGCCCTTGACCGGAATCGAACCTGGGACCTTTCAGTCCGCAGGCCGACACTCTATCCACTGAGCCAAACCGGTTTCGGCCAATGCAACTTCTTAATAAAAAATAAATAAAATCACATATTGTCAGTATCTTTAATTGCTAAGCCATGTTTTGTTTGTTTTTTGTTAATCCTCATCCAAGGATATTTCTTCCATTGCTTTTTAGAGAGAGTGGAAGGGAAAGGGAGAGACAGAGAGAAACATCGATGTGAGAGAGACACTTCAATTAGTTGCTTCTCACACGCAGCCAAGAATCGAGCCTGCCACCCAGGTATGTTGCCTTGACCGGAAATCGAACCTGAGACCCTTCGGTTGCACGCTGATGCTCTAACCACTTAGCAACATCATCCAGGACCACGGGTTGTTTTTTTACCTTGTTCCATTCTTTTCATTAGCTGTATTTGATCGACTGTCTTCTTCAAAATCTTGCATTTGTCTGGTTTTACACTCAAGCTGTCAATGTCACTGATGTTTGCAGACAATAACTCAGCTAGCTCTTCTAAGTATTTATTTTCTTGCTCCCTGCGCCTCTTTTCAGTGCTGTTACACAAAGAAAATTCAGTAAGTGTACATTCTACCACTACATTTCCTTCTCTGATTGAGTACTTAATGTTTACACATTTAGAGAGATTCCTATTTTTATAAAGAATATAAAACCAGATTCAGAAAACAATTTACTGGTAAATTCACATCTAAAAAACGGATACCACAAAATACCAAAACAGAAGCCAATTATAGCTAAAATACATAAAGAGAATGACTGCTGTCACAGATGAATTTCCTCAGCAATGTATATTCATTGACTATTTCAATAACAATGAATACAGATATTAAAAGGAAGCAAACAGCATATATACTACCTGCATTTGTAATTATATTACCTTCTAAATAACGCCTTCAGATAGAAAATCTGAATTTTCAAATAAATTTGTTATAAATTAAGCAGGGTAGACTATAAAGAGTTCAAATAAGTTATAATAAGAAATCTGATAAACTCTTGATTCTTATAATGAATAGACTATAATTGGTCCTCATCAAAAAGAAAAAAGTACCCATCTAAGAAGTAAAATAAAAAGGATAATAAATCAATGATTAGAAACTAAGGTATAGAGAACAATGTCTTTAGTATACAACTTTGTTTTAAAAATAGATTCAATTAAAAAATAAAAATACCATCTACTTATAAGGTCTTATAAATATAATAAAGTCAAACTCAAATTATCTTAAAGCAAAATAATGAGAACAAAAGATAACAGTGGAAACAGCCAGCACTTTACATTCACTCAAATGTGCTGAATGACTGTATTGCTCATTTTTGTTTTCCAGTCTTTACCCCTGGGTTACTTAGCCAAGTCATCGGGCAACTTGCTTTATGTAAGATAAAGACAATGAAGTATTACTTTGAAATGAATTTTTCTATTATCAATTTAAAAGAATGAGAAAGACTGGCCATAAGCAGCTCTTTGTTTTATAAGCAGCAGTCAAAATCATTTGGCTGCATATAAAAATGGTAGGAAAAAAAGGTGAAAAAAGGGAAAGAGCAGTTGTTAAAAAGCTCATAATTGGCAACAATTAAAATGCCATTTATTTTAATTTTAAAAAGACTATAAAGATGATAGCATTTACATAACAACTTAGTAAGTCGAAAAGAATCAAGTCAAATCATCAAATGTATTTAGTTACATAAAACAAAATACCACTAAATGGTACACATCTCAAAACAAAATCAAACTTTAAAACTATATATTCCATTCTGTCTTTGTCTTTTTAATCTTACATTATTAAGGAATTAGTCCCATTTTACTTAGTAAAACTCTTACAACTTCCACTGTTAGTACTTACAACAAGATTTTGACAAGTTTCAACCAAGGCATTGACAAGTAGGCATGAAAAGAATGAATAACCTACATTTTGATATATACAGGCTTTAGAGAACTCCAGCTGAGCAACCTGATAGTGTTTTGAAGCACATCTGCTTTTTATGTTAGAGAAACTAATTAATATTAGACTTATTAGTATATTCAGTCTATAGTCTGAACTAATCTGTTTAAATCTATGGGTTTACATTTCAACACAAGTAAATTGGATTCACTTGGTGAGGCTCCCAAATTCGTTTTTTACTTTAAATTTTGTGTAAAAATGAAGTGCTTGAAACTACTGTAGGGTAAAAAGAAAGTTGATAGAATGGGCAAGGTAGGCAGACAGAGAGGTGACAGAGGAAGCAAGAAGCTAAAAGTAATGAAATAATGAAGTGTCTACAAAATGACCTGAAAATGATACTAGGAAAATCACCACAAAATGAAGCAGCTAGAAAATGAGAGTAGATATATTAAAATAAAGTCAAAATTGAAGGAGGGGTGGAGATGACAAAAAATTCTACCTTAATGGAAAAGAAGGCTTTCTTTATTACTTTGGGCCACCTACATTTCTCCTCTCACTAACCCACTTCATTTCCATTTATATTGCATACATGCTAGTTAATGCTACTATGAGTTAACTTCTCGTGTATCTTTTTTTCTTCAACTTACTAGTTTTTTCAACAAATGCTCCTATACTCATTATGTGCCAGATAATCATGTACTATATTCAGGAGTAAGTTAGACTTAGCCTCCAATTAGCCAGAAAACAGAAAAGAAGACAGGCCATTATCATACTATGTTGACAAGACTGTAATACTGGAGAAGGGCATACAGATGGCTCCTAGACCTAGGAATGAGATGTCTAAACCTAGTGGTAGGGAAAGACTGGTTTCCTGAAAGAAAAAAAAACTCAGCTCTTTCAAAGGTATAAAGTGAGAGTGAAAATATCAAGTCAAAGGACCTATAAGTAGTTCAACATGGCTGACCTACAGATGTAAGAACCCAAAAGGGCAAGAGATGAGGTCCTGGCCAGACCACAAGGGCTCCTTCGTGCCATGATAAAAGGCACGATATATTACTTAAAAGTACAAGTTCAAACTTCCTCTGTCATTTACTAGCTATGTAACCCTGGACATGTCACTTGATTTCTCTAAGCTTCAGTTTTCTTATCTGTAAAACAGGGATAATGACATTACCTCCTAGGCTTTTGTGAGGATTAAGAAGATGACATATACAAAATACTGGGCAGAGTTCCTGGCATACACTATTAGCTCAGTCAATGTTATCTGTTATCATCACTCTGGTTATGATTATTTTTTTCAGGGCCAGGGGAAGCCCAGAAGGGTTTAAGAATGAGTGGCATGACCAGATTGGTAAGCTTCTTGAAGACAGAAAACATGTGTCACACTTCACATATATCCTTATAACATGACCCACATGGTGCCAGTTGAAAAGCAGGCATTTCATAAACACTTGTTGAGTTGAATTGGAAATGCTGAACAAGCAGAAGGCACAGCTACCCACCATTTTAAGATTAGCACTTGAATCCTCATTCTCTTAGCATAGTTCAAGAATGGAGAAGAGGTAACAGGAAGGAGACACAAGACAACTCACCCCAACAAACAATTACTGAGGAACTCTCCTATCCAGGGCGACTATACACAGGACTGGCCATACCTGAGGTCTACCTATGCTCTTCATGATTTACTAAATATAAGCCAAACACTGTGTTAGGAACTAGGGATAAAATGGTGAGCAAATTCAGAGAAGTGGTAGGGAAAGACTAGTTTCCTGAAAGGAAAAAAACCCCAGCTCTTTCAAAGGTATAAAGTTAAAGTGAAATTATCAAGTTAAAGGACGTATTAGTTTGCAGTGGAAAAGCCAGGGATTCATGAAATAATCACACACACTAGTAAAATCTGAAATTATGGATCAAAGCTATAAAAACATGTGAGAGAGATACATGAATGGTAGACATTTGATGTAATAGTTAAGGAAGAAAGAGAAGGTTTCCTTTGAGGAAGTAATGACTAAGCTGGCATCGTAGAATGTCTATGTGATGACTACAGGAAATCTAGAGGGAGCAAGCTGGACTGAGGGAGTAGCATTCTAAGGAAGCTGAGGAAGGAAGAGAACCGGGTAAGTATGCACGACTCAAAGAAGGCCAGTAAACTTGGAGTAGATGAAACAGAAGCTTTAAAGTGGCAATGAAAATGATAAAGCAGCTCTGCCAGAAATAGACCAAGAAAAGAGTATTCCTACCTTGATGCCAGTGTGTCACATGGAGATCCTTTTCTCTTATGTGAGTCTGGGTTAGCAGGGTCGGATGAACTGTCCCCGAGGCCACTCATGTTGAAAAACTTCACACCTAAAAAGAAAGGACAACAATAAGAAATCTATCCTAAGGAACTTGCCAACCACAGGGGAGGACGGAGCTCCCTTATGTTAGAAAGTATCTAAACATTGTAGTCATTGTAATCAATTAATAGATTATTACAGCCAACATAAAGACATCCGCATCTACACAAAACCACAGTAATCACCAGCTACTGAGTGTTTCTAAACTTTTTTTCTGTATCTGTAAGATAAAATTAATAATCCTTTGTGAAATCATAGAGATCAATCAGGATAAAAATATTGTTAGAATAAAAGAGATACTGAGATTTTTTTCAACACTTATATGTAACTGTAAAAACTCAATGTATAAGTGAGAGTCAGAGAAATTATTTTTATATTTATTTTAAATTTTACCTTTGAAAAATATTTTTATTAATTTCAGAGAGGAAGGGAGCGGGAGAGAGAAATAGAAACATCAATGATGAGAGAGAATCATTGCCTCCTGCACGCCCCACACTGGGGATTAAGACTGCAACCTAGGCATGTGCCCTGACCAGGATTCAAACCCTAACCTCCTGGTTCATAGGTTGATGCTCAACCACTGAGCCATGAAGCCAGGTTGAAATCAATAAAAACATACTTTTTAAAAAATGTTGAAAGACCCAACATGGTTTTATTAGCATCATTAAACAATATCCAGCTAAGTAACACATTACTGTAATTAAGACTGCTACCTTCTTTTCTGATTAAGATCCATAGAAAGCTCTGACCAGTTTGGCTCAGTGGATAGAGGGTTGGCCCAAGGACCGAAGGGTCACAGGTTCAATTCCCAGTAAAGGGTATGTACCTCTCTCTCTCTCCCTCCCTCCCTCCCTACTACCTCCTTTCCACTCTTTCTCTAAAGATCAATGGGAAAAATACCCACAGGTGAGGATTAAAAAGAAAAGATCCATAGAAATATAAATGAGGTTAACCAAATATCACAAAGCAAAGAAGCCACTTAATTAGATTTTCACACAGAAATAAAATGTAAATCTTTTAAAATTTAATACAAAAAATTAAATTATGCAATAAATATATAATAATGAAAAAGCGTCAATTCTAAACTTTTCAACAAAAGTAGAAATAGAACAGTGAAGAAAATAATGAACAGGGAAGAAAATGGAAGATAAGACTTTAGAGTTTGCTAAAATCTAAAAGAAAAGAGTTAGCCCAGCCAGTGTGGCTAAGTGGTTGAGCATCAACCCATGAACCAGGAGGTCACGATTCAATTACTGGTCAAGGCATATGCCTGGCTTGTGGGCTTGATTCTCAATGGGAGGCATGCAGGAGGTAGCCAATTGATGTTTCTCTCTCTCTCCCACTCTCCCTTCCTCTCTCTGAAATCAATAAAAACATTAAAAAAAAACACACCAAAAAAAGTTAGCTAAGTCCTACTTCATGTTCAGAGGCCACTTTCCTTACCTGTCCATCTTCTCCACTTTCAAGATATTAGTATATATATTAATATATCCATCTGAGAATTTACGCATCTGGAATTCTACTGGCTCTCAAAATACTCCTGGACATGTATTTCTTATTATAGTGTGCTATAAATTACAATTCTCTTGTTTCTCTTCTCTTCTAGATTGCAAACTCAAAGCCAATTACTAGATCTTTTTACTGTATATCCAATATCTAACATAATGCCTAAAAGATACAGATGCTAAGATGGATGATGAATTATAAGTGATTAAGTTATGTCACTAATATAACATTTAAAACTTTTAAAGGATATTTAAGATTTTTTTATGGTTAAATCTTTTCTGGAATCTTTTATAATGCTCTATAAATTCTTCCTACAATTGAAATCCTTGTTCCCCTGTTTCCAATGGGGGGAAAAACACCACACCCTGACCTTCCTGGTCTAGAAATTAGAGAACAACTCTTCTAATTTTGAAAAAGTAAATAACTACTATTTTGCAGAAACTGCCTACTATATTTCATAGTTCTATGGAGACACAAAGACCTGTTACAGTTGTGCTTACAACTGTAAACATAAATAATATAATCTCATAGACTGGATAATTTTGAGCAACAAATAAATCTGGATTTAAAAGGAGATTCTCCATACTGAACTACCCTCAGACTCCTGGCTATTGATATTTGCTAAAATTATCAAGGATTCTGGGACTCAGGAGACATCAGACAACAATTCAAGAGCAGCCAGGCAACCCGGCCACCAAAATTAACAGCCAACAGTAAGAAGCTGGGAGAGAGTCACCAACAACTTGCTGATGATTCTGGTATGAACTGCTTTCTATTTACAAAACAACAGAGAGTGGGATGCAAAACCTCCGATCAGTGGAAACTATCATAGCTGTTTTTTGTGTGGAATGGTTTTATATTTGGCAGTTAGGATACTTAAATAAGGTTCATTAAGAAATGTTGGTTTCAGGAAACCAATTTGCATATCACCTTTTAAAAAGAGGTAAGGTTTCTAAGTAAAAGTACCCTCTTGATTTAAAAAGGCTTGCTAAATTATACCCACTCTCATGCAATCTCTAGAGAGCAGTTTTAGGAACTAGAAACCACATCTATCTCGGTTCAAATGGACCAGACTAAACCAAATAGGGGAGGCTGAAGAAATAGGTCAGTGCTTTGTATTTCAGTTGATTTATACATTTCCACATGAGAAATTTGTTATTCATCTCCCAGATTCAGCTGAGAACAATATAATTTGAAAAATAAGTCACAGTTAATAAACAACTCTAATAATTGGTCACTTTGACAGATGAATTTTTTTAAAAAGAAAATGTTTCTCAAGGGCCCAGTGTCGCAATGGGTAACACAGACTATGGCTGACAAATTTTTCTCAAACAAGAGTTTCAGACACCTGCAGTTCTCTGGAAGAAGTTTTCAATTTTCTCTGTTCATTTAAATGACAATTGAAATCTTTCTCTTGTTAAGAAAGGATGGGGATTTCAACAATTTTATTGTCCTTTTTTATGGTTAAATTTCCATTGTTTGATATACCACATTTTGTTTAGGTAATCATCAGTTAATGGTCATTTAAGTTTTTCCATTTGGGGGCTATTTATCAATAATACTGTTGTAAACACTTAAATGCAAATTTTTTGTGTGAACATGTTTTCAATTCTCTTAAGTATATACCGAGGAGTGGAACTACTAGGTCATACTATAACTCTCTTAACTTTTTGAGGAACTGCCAAACTGTCTTCCATAATGGTTGGACCATCTTAAATTCTCACCAGCAATGTACAAGCATGCCAATTTCTCCACCTCACCAAAGTTACTTTCAGTTTTGCAATTTTATTTTTATTATAACTATCCTAGTGGGTGTGAAATGATATCTTTACACTTCCCTACTCACTAATGACATTGGTCACTTGCATATCTTTTGTGGAGAAAGAGCTATTCAAGTCCTTTGCCTATTTTTTAAAAAAATTGGGTTACGTGTCTTTTTATTGTTGAGACATAAAAGTTTTTTATATTTGGGTACTAAACCCCTATTAGATATATGATTTGCAAATATTTACTTTCATTCTGTGGTTTATCTTTTCACTTTCTTTATAGTGTCTTTTGATAAATAAAAGTTTTTAATTTTGATGAACTCCAACATCTTCCAACTTTTCTTCTTTGTTTAATCAGTACAATGCTTGGACTTCCTTAAATACAGTTTCTATTAATTGCTATTTTTCCATGATTTTGGTTTCCTTGCATGCCTCCTAATTTCATGTTAAAACAGATATTTTTGGGCTAATGACTGAACAAGGGTTTCCTTAAACATCTGGAAACAAAAACTCTCTCAGAATCCACAAAGCAAGGGACCAAAATTCAGATGGTGGCTATCCCTAGCCCAGGGGTCCTCAAACTTTTTAAACAGGGGGCCAGTTCACTGTCCCTCAGACCGTTGGAGGGCCGGACTATAGTTTAAAAAAAAAAACTATGAACAAATTCCTATGCACACTGCACATATCTTATTTTGAAGTGAAAAAACAAAATGGAAACAAATACAATATTTGTATTTGCATTGGCCCGCGGGCCGCAGTTTGAGGACCCCTGCCCCCATAAACTTCTGCCCATATCTCAACCATTATGGTCAGAAATAGAAAGCAAAGGCAAAGAAATTGATTTAAAGCAATGAATTCTTAAAAATGAAGGTATCATTTTATTTCATCAATTTTATAAAATATCAAATTTTTCTTAATGTTTTCTATAAAAGAAAATCCTGTGCAAAGTCTTTTAAATTTATTATGCTAATAAAGACATTATGAAGGGTTGGATAACTTCTAAAAGTATGTAATGTTTAAAACAATGTACTTAATAAATTTATGTTTATTATTAAAACTTATTCTACAGATTAACAAATAAGCTTTCTTATCTGGTTTGGCTCAGTGGAGAGTGTCGGCCTGAGGACTGAAGGACTCCCGAGTTGGATTCAGGTCAAGAGCACTTGCTTGGGTTGCAGGCTCAATCCCCAGTAGAGGGTGTGCAGGGGGTGGCCAATCAATGAGTCTCTCTCATCATTGATTGCCGGAGTCCAACCCCAGCAGGTCCAGGGGTCCCCAAAGGTGTGGATGGAGTCAGCGAAGAAGGAATGACACAGAGACAGCGTTCAGTTGATCAGCAGCCTAGCCAGGATCTCTAGCCAGGATCTCCAGCCAAGTTCTGGTCTGGATCTCCAGCGAAGTTCTGCTTCAGATCTCCAGGTTCTCCAGCCAGGTTCTGTAGCCATGTTCCCTCGTTAGGTTCTCCAGCCAGGTTCAGTCACCAGGTTCTAGTCAGGTTCTCTTGCCAATTTCTGTAGTCAGGTTCAGTCCAGGATCTTTTGCCATGTTCTCTCCAGTGAAGTTCTTCTGTCTGTAGGTTCTGTGTAGGTTCTGTCTTCTAAGTTCTGTGTTCTAAGTTCTGGCTCTTGCTGTCTTGTTGTATCTGTATTTATACCAGTTGATTCAATCCTATCAATCTCTATTACAAAGGTTAGGGCGTTTCTTATCTTCATTCCAGGGAGTAAAGATTATGTAGCTT